AAAAGAGCAGGGGGAGGAGATGAGAGGAATTAGAGTCCACATAGGTCTAAGGCATCTAAGGGTCGGATAAGTGTAAGAGCTAGTTGAGTCTGAAGGATCACGCGAATCTAAGGGTCAGTTGAACCTAAGGGTCAAAAGAGNAAAAGTAGGCCATAGAGTAATACAGGAAATTAAAAGGAAAAGAGCAGGTGGAGGAGATGTGAGGAATTAGAGTCCACATAGATCTAAGGCATCTAAGGGTCGGATAAGTGTAAGAGCTAGTTGAGTCTGAAGGATCACGCGAATCTAAGGGTCAGTTGAACCTAAGGGTCAAAAGAGTACGAAGGGTCAGGCAAATATAAGGGTCAGTTCAGTAATGGTCAGATAAGTAAAAGGCTCAGTTGAGTTTAAGGATCAGTTGTGTTCAAGTGTCAGTTGAGTTTAAGGGTCAATTGAGTTTAAGCGTCAAATGAATCTAAGGGTCAGATGGGTCTAAGGATTAGTTGAGTCCGAAGGATCATGCGAATTTAAGGGTCTGTTGAGCAAGGATCAGATACGCAAAAGCTTCAGTTCAATTTCAAGGATAATTGCGTCCAAGTGTCAGTTGAGTTTAAGGTTCAGATGGGTCTAAGGGTTATTTGAGTCCGAAGGATTAGGCGGATCTAAGAGTCAGTTGAGTCTAAGGGTCAAACAACTACAAAGGGTGAAGCGGATTTAAGGGTCAGTTGAGTGTGAAGGGTCACGCGAATCTACGGGTCAGTTGAGCCTAAAGTCAGATAAGTAAAAGGCTGAGTTGAGTTTAAGGGTCAGTTCAATCTAAAAGTCAGATCACCTTTGGCTCACCTGACCCTCAGAATCGATCTGACCCTCAGACTCATTTGACCTTTATCCTCGTCTTAGACTCACCTGACTCTCAGGCCCAATAGGGCCTTCGCACTCATCTGACCCATACACTCAACTGACCCCTACAGACAACTGGCCCTTAAATTCAATTGACAGTTGAACTCAACTGAGGTTTTTAATTATCTGACCCTTACAAAACAGACCCCTGGATTTGCCTGACCCTTCGTACTCTTTTGACCCTGAGGCTCAACTCACCTTTAAACTCAACTGACATTCAATCTCAACTAAGGCTTTCACTTATCTCACCGTTAGATTCGCGTAATCTTTTGGACTCAACTCACCCTTATACTCATCTGACCCTTATACTCAATTGATCCTTATACTCAACTAATCCTTTTGACCCTTGGACCCAACTCACCCTTCAGACGCACGATTGTTTGAACTTCGAACTAATGTTATTAATGTACTAACACTAATAGCTTAGTTACGTGAGTCTTTAACACGGTAATGAATTTTTTAATTATCGTCAATAATGACCTTGATACAATCAAATGTGGACGTCGAACCTTACAACGTACGTTAACAGAAAAAAAACGTCATTAACGTTGAGAGTACGTTTAATGTACGGTGGATATTGAGTGTTTTTCAACGTCCATGGGCCTTCACGTTGAGATAAGTTGAAAGTGCGGTATAAATTTGGCGGAGAATTTGGACATCAAAGCAATGTAGGTTCAAAACGTTGAAACTACGTCGGGAGACCCGGTAAAATTTTGACTCGGACAATCTCGAGTGGCTGCTTTTCAACCACCACTTTGTATATGTAACCTTTCTTACCAGTACGAAGTGGTTGGTATTGCACTTTTAATAGGACTAGAACCAGAAAATACTGGGGCAGTAATAAACGTGAAATTTCTAGAATGAAACCAGATGCAACAGGAAAAAAACATGAAACCAAACGATACAGATGGAACAAAAAATAACCGTGTACACTGCCTAGATACCTTGTTGGTAGGAAGAGGTGCAAATGAAACGGGTAATTGGAAAAACTGCCAGAAAAAGTTAACTGCGGTCGCTGAATACATTTGTGCCGGTGTACGATTCGAGTAACCTCACGCATCAGCAATTGCGATATACTGCTGAAACAGCCAGTTCCGCGCACAGTAATGTCTGATTAGGTGCCTCGAAGTGACGGAAAGAAACTCGGCCGCAATCCACTTGGCAGCAAATAAACAGCCACGAGCATTCAGAAACTGCAGCTCTTGACACATTTATTCTGGCTTCTTTTCTCTCCTACACGGAGAGAAATTTGTTAGAAAAATTCTAGTGCTAGCGCGGAAAAAGAGGAACAAAATGACGGCCAGAAAAAAATTGCAGTGCCGGCACTAGAAATTTTATTGGGGAAAACGTGAATTTTTCCCCGTATTTCTGTGAAAATTTCACAGAAATCTCCAGAAATTTTACCAGAAATACCAAGAAATTTTACCTTAATAGCACCAGAATTTTTCACTGTCGGTAGATTGTAATTTTTTCCAGTACTCGTACTAGAATTTTTCAAGAAAATTTCTCTCCATGTAATCCCCTCTCAAATTCGATGTTTTGTTGTGGTTCTTTTTGAGATTATGTCTTACTTGTTGTTGGAAGCTCACGACTATCTCCTTTACAACTTGCTCACTGATAAAATGATTCATTTATTCCAAATGAGATTCGTTAACTATTAACGAATGATAGAGTTGAAGATGACCAAATCAATATTTGTTAATATTTAACGAATGATTTACTAAAAAGGTGAAAGTCGAGTCAAACAAGACTCCTCAAATATGCATTTGTTAAGTATTAACGAATGAGCATTTGGTGATACCGAATATACCCTAGCCTACAACCAAATTCATTTGTTAACATCAACTAATCTTTTCTATCAGTGCACTGATAGAAAAAAAAAAAATTTCATGGATAGTTGACTGCTAACTTTCAGGACTATGACACTAAATGCGATTTAGGGATAAAAAATCATGAAATTTCAGTTTTCCCTGGAAATTCAGTAAAATTGCAGAATTGTAAGCAGCATAAAGACGAGAATTCCTTAAATTATTTGAATTTCCAATCTAATATTAAATATTCAATCCCAAATTACATTAAATTTTCAGTGAAATCTGAAATTTCATGATTTTTCCCCCCTAAATCTCATTTAGTGTCACTGTCCTCAAAATTCAAGAATATATTTACCGAAACTTTCTGGGTTTCTATTTATTTTCAGGGAAAAATGGAATTGAAATTTACGGTTCTTTTTTATTTTTCTACGAAATTTTGAATTTTTAATGACGATGGAATGTTTATTAACCGAAAAAATGCGGAGAATTGGTATAGTCAAAGGTATCGAATGAAGACAAGCTCCTCCGTAAAAATTCACCCCTTTTATTCGATAATTGCCCCTGACTTTCTCACTTCTTCCTCCCCTTCTCGTGTCTTGCATCTTCTTCACGACAACATTATCCTGAACGTTACCGATTTCCACACTAACTCCATCCTCTCTTCCATTTCAATTCTTCCCAGCCCACCCCTCTATATAATGAGTTTGCAAGCGGTGCCAGGAAGTTACTCCGTCGGAAAGAAAAACGAGAAAAACAAGCAAGGTAAAATGAGTTTCTGTTTTTCTATAGGGCGAACAGCGCAAAGCGTTTGCGGTGCCTATCCAAACATACGTGTATTCTTGTAGATATACTTGTAGATAAGTGGAAATGAAAGTTTCCCCTTTTGTAAATATGTTCGATGATTACTCTTACTTTGTGGATAGGGAGAAAAGGGAATTGAAGAGTGCGAAAAGATATATTCCTCCATCCTATTCTGTATCCTTGTTCCTCGTTCCTTTTTCAAGAATTTCTGACTAGAATTCTATTTTAAAAAACTGTATTCCAGCTGTATTCGCCTTCTTTTGTACATTTTTATTCATTTTCTGCACCAAATTCTATTGAAAATTAAGCAACTCTCTCGTAAGAAGTGTGAAAAAAGTTTATCGGTGTTGTTTTTTCGATGTGACTCATTGTGTTGGGATTTTTCTTGTAAGAATTGGTGGGCATAGAATTTCCATGTTTTTTTTCTTAGATTTTGTCATACGAAACAAATGAAAATACAATACAAAAAACTTGGAAAATTTGTGCTTAAGAATAAAGAAATCAAAACATTGACGCAAAAAAACCGATGAATTTAAAAAAATATTATTCAAACCAATAGAATTGTATGAAGTATGTTATAGAACTTTCATAAAACTCCATTAGACTTCTTATCGAGTTCCAATAATAATTCAGTAGAATTTTTTTATGTGACTAAATCTTGTTACTTTTTCCTTTTTTTCTTATGTGTATTGGATTTTTTCAGTAAGAGTCGTCCACCCCTCCGCCCTTTGCGGAACTTTGTGATAAAAAATAGATTGTCATTCGGCATCTAAATTATATAAATTTAAATGGACTTCTGGGGATCAAAATTTGGTATACTCTAAAATTAGGGATCAAAAATGAACGGTCAAAAAACAACAGTCAGAAATAAGGGTCACGAGGGTACTAATGAGGGTCAAAATAAGGGTCACGAGAGTTCTAATAAAGGTCAGAATAAAGGACATGAGGGATAGTTAAGGGTCACAAGGATCAGAATAGTAGTCCAAATGAGGGTCATGAGGGTCAAAATACGGGTCGGGGGGGGTCATATAGAGCTATATGAGGGTCATGTGGAGATCATGTGGGGGTCATATGAGTGTTGGCAAGCTGAGCGAGCAGGGAGTGTAGCCTCTAGTCACCTCTCAAACTATAACAAACGGAAGAATTTGGCCTATTTTAAGCCTACCTTTCGGAAATAGCTCAGCAATGATATGAGTAAGGCGGGAGCAACATGAGACTGAGAAATACATGCAAAACGCCATCTTATTTTCCCCGTCTAAATCTTCCCTTATAGAAATTATGCTCCAAAAATTTGCAGTTATAAAAATGATCCCTTATATGATCATTTTTGGTAGCTCTTCTAACATGTACATGTACTCGCCCCAGAAAATTTGAACTCATTCCTACTTCTACAATACCAACGTAGGAGGGGATATTGGTAGATGGAAGAGATATCTGAAAACTATGCGTCAAGACCACATCAGTACGATTGTGATTACTACTCTGTAAGCATCAACTTGAAGTAGCACAATGGAAATATATTGGGTCACCCTTGTCTGTCTATCATCGATAGTTGTATGCAAAATAATTCAGAAAATTTACAAATATTATTCGTGGCGGACGAAAATTGACGAAATACCGGGTCCCCGGGGACGTTTCCCGATCATCGGTATGGTATGGGAGATCACTAGAGTCAAACAAGAAGGTAGATCATCAACCCATTCCTCAATCCATAAATTGAAATCAATTGTTTCTGGGGCTGTAACGACATTATAATGCAATTCATTATTGTTTTATGATATGAAAATTAGATCAGATGCAATGGCTTCATAAAATAGCGAATCAATACAAAAATGGGATTTTCAGAATATGGATTGGAATCGATCCGACGGTTCATATCAACACACCAGAGCATGCTGAGGTAATTATACTATCTTCATATAATCATATACAAAATGACTGATTACTATTGAACATATTTAGGTCATTCTTCGGAGTACAAAACATATTGACAAATCGATGATCTATAAGTACATAGTGCCATGGCTAGGAAAGGGATTATTAACTTCAACAGGTATATAACGAGTCGGAAATTGCTTTCGTCATGACATAGTCAATGGACTCTTGCTAATATATTATCAATTTGCTTCCGAATGGAATTTCTATGACGATGTATTTTTATTGTAATTGAATTCCATAATTCATTAAATTTCAAATTAACGTTAGCCCTAACGTTGGCAGCCAACATTGCCCCAACGTTGATAATCAACATTGTCTCAAAATTGGCCGCCGACATTGCCTAAGCGTTGGCAGCCAATGTTTATCTTCTCGTGAATATTGTTAAACATTAGGGGAAAAGATTAACTTATCTGTCGTTATTTTTATGATTTCGTTGTGTATCGTCAGATTGCATTCCTCGATGTTCAGGTGAATCTCTGAGAGTATCCATGATTACTTACGGAATAATATTACACTGAAATTTCACACTTGAGCAAAAGACAATTGCGGCACTTCTGATACAAATTTTAAATACATGCCATTTAACTAAGAATGATTGGTTATTAAAAGATTTTGGGGCGAAATAAATAATGAAAAGAATCAGTTAAGATTCAATACTCAATTACATTGAAAGATCAGTTTGTGATGTTCTGCCAATTTTCCATCTGAAATGTTCATCACCTGAATGTTCAAATGCATAGCCTTTAAAATGTTAACTATTTCAGGAGAAAAATGGTCCCACGATCGGAAATTGATAACTCCATCTTTTCATTTTCGTATTCTTGAGGATTTCGCAGAGGTCATGGTGGAAAAAGCTAGTATACTAAATCGGCGTTTGGAGGAGAAGGTAAAATTGCATGGTAGTAAATCATTCGACGTATTCAAAATGACTGGAAAATGTGCGCTGGATATCATCTGCGGTAAATTGAAGTTTATTTTTCTATGCATTTCGGTATATACTGTTAGAAAAAAATTAAATTTCATGCACAGTTGACTACTAATTTTCAGGGCAGTGACACTGAATACGATTTAGGGTAAAAAAATCATGAAATTTCAGGTTTCACGAAGAATTCAGTAAAATTCCATTATTTTAAGCAGCATAAAGACAAAAATTCCTTAATTTATTTGAATTTCCAATCTGATATGAATATTCAGTGCCCAATTACATTGAATTTTCAATAAAGTCTAATGAATTTCAGTGAAATTTAATTATTTTTTCCCCTAAATCGCATTCAGTATCAATGTCATGAAAATTCAAGAATAAATTTACCAGAATTTTCTGGCGTAAATGTTAAGAAAGAGGGCCCTACCGCCCATCTTTCTGAAAACTTAACCATCGGATCGATGGTGGGGCCCCCTCTTTCTTAACAGTTACTTGAACTTTTAATGGCAAAATTCCTTAAAATTTCAGTGGTAATTAAATTCGATAAAATTTCCGAAAAGTTTACCAGAAATTTCAGACGAAAATTTCTAATAGTGTAATCAATTTCTCATGAATAAAGTTGATTCTAGAAACTGCAATGGGAATAAACGTCGATGCCCAGAGCGAGGTTGAGAATGAATACTGCCAAGCTGTTGAGTGGTACGTTTGAAATTTTAAAACGTACAATATTTTCATTCATTGTCAGTAATTGGTAGGAATTGTGAATAATAGAAAAATGTATGGTTTTTCAGCATATCAACGGGAATTATGCATCGTAGACTTCGCCCCTGGCTGAAACTGGACTGGATTTTCTACCGCACGGAAAAGGGAAAACAATTAAAAGATGCCATTGAAAAAACACACGAAAAATGCGTTCATGTAAATATTTTCTTGCATTTTGATCATTTTGATACCCCGAAGAAATATATATAATAATTTCCTTCACAGCTGATTGAGCAGAGAAAAGCTGAGAAACAACAAAAGTTGAAAATTGTCGATGACACTGAAGCTGCAGATGGAGGAATTGGTAATTTTTTTTTAGATGGCGGGATTAAGTTCACGGAATGATTATTTTACAGACTTAGGGACATAATTACCGATATTTTCCCCAAAGGACAAGCATTTTTTACAGTCGTACTTTGTTATGCGAGTGATTTTTTTTCCAAAAATTTTTGTTTCCGAAAGCATCGCATAAATGACAAAGGAAAAAAATTTATGTCTAATGATAGTTGAAAGTAATTTATTTTCGGCCAAATTCCATTTGGGAACATATAACTATCCATTTGAACGTTTCAATGAGGGAGGGGACACTTAAGCATCGCGACGTCATTCTGAAGCATTGTTAGTGACCTTCAAATGCATGAAAATGAAAATTCGATTCTTAATGATTGAATTCAATTATTGCATCTTCTTCTCAAACAATCAAAATTCAAGTAGAAAAAGTGAAAATATTTTAAAGCTTATAACTCTTTGAAAAGAAATCGAATCGCTCTGAAAATTTTATGAGAGTTTGGTCTCAAGCGCGGAGAGAAATATTCAATAAAAATTACGTATCTTTTCCGTAATTCCGAACCGGAATGTGGCTCCAGGAAATTTTACGGAACTGTCACGGAATTTTTCCAGAGCGTTCCGTAATTTTTTTCTGAATTTCATGTGAACAATTACGATACCGTCACTTAAATTTTCTGAGTCTATTCCGTAATCGGTAAGCGAATTGTGAGTTCCGTAATTTTTACTGAATATTTCTCTCCGTGTGTATGAGAAGGACTCATAAAAAAATCGCGAAGACAATCGGGACTTAAAATTTTTTAATTTCGGACTTAACGCAGAATTGCTCAATATAAAAAAATGGAAAAGTAGCAGTAAAATTCTATTTTCCGTGCTGAGACGGCTTGATATCTTGATTTTATGAGATGAGTATCAATGTAAGAAGTAATTAAATTATCATGTAGAAGTTTCTAAAAAAGAATGAATATAGTCGACTAATTCTTGAAATATTTGCAAAAACCATTTTTAAGAAATCTCTATAACTTGGGAACAGCTGATTGAAGGCCACAATTTTTTTGTAATGACTATTTTGAAGTTATTGACACAGTTCTGAATACATACACATATATGCGGAGATTTGCTAAAAATAGCATTTATTCATGTTTCATAACATTTCGAACCATTTTCACCCAAATTTGGATAATACGAAAAAATTAATTTTACGAAACTTTCATTAGAGACCAAGAAGGCGAAATAGTGATGTGACTTAATATTATAAATAAACGAACGAATAATTTTATTCATCCGTAATCTTATTTTCAATTCAAATGAGTCTGAATATGACAGTGTATCGCTCATTCATTTACCAGGGAAAACAACGCGACGGGCATTTTTGGATTTACTACTCGAGACCAATGAAAACACTGTAAAACCTTTGACAATCGAAGAAATACGAGAGCAAGTCAACACATTTATGTTTGCGGTAAGTCATTAACTCTTTGTGGCACGTAGCGATACCCCACTCTTCCTCTTTTTGGAATAGCGGGCGTGCGCCGCCGTGCTTCTCTTTTGGCGTTCTCATACTCAGACGAATCTCCTACTTCCCCTACACCGATGCTTCTCGTGAGCTCCGTGCCGCAATGGATTAAAGACATAGTGGCGACCGGGGTAAAGTGGGGTAGCTACGACAAAGAGGCGAGTGTCGGAGCTTCTTCCATATTTATATTGCTTTTTAGCAATCTCTACTCACATTCTACACGGAGAGAGCAAATTTATGTGACTATCTAAGTCTAGATCATTGTAAGAACTCAGCTTTAATCAAAATACCCAATTTGGGGGCTCATTCCTTCTTCTAATCCTAGTGGCTTTATACTCTCACTCTTGTAGAGGCAAGTACCAAAATATGGGGGTTCATCCCGGTGTTTGAAAAAATTGAAAGCATTTCCAGAATTCTTCCATTTTTTTTAAATTTTTCCTTAGTATTATTCGACTTTTTGAGCCTTTTTTGACTTTTCATTGATCCCTGATCGGCCCCTCGTCAACCCCTTGAATTTCTCAAGTTTGGCCTTTTTTTCTGTACCTCACTATGCCCCGGCCGACCGCTTTGCTTCGGTCTCCCCTACGTCCACAATTGTACTTTCTCTAGTAAATCAACACGTTATTGTGAAATTTATAGGGTCATGACACTACTGGTGCACTCATGGGTTGGGTTTTATTCTGCATTGGGAATGATGAAAAAGTGCAGAAAAGTATTCATCAAGAGCTGGATGAAATTTTTGGAGACTCGAATGAGCCAGTAACCACAAAACAAATCCCTCAGTTGAAGTATCTGGATAGAGTTATAAAAGAAGTTCTGAGATTATTCCCAAGCGTCTCAGCTATTGGCCGAACCATGTCTGAGGATTTAGAATTGAGTATATTTAACTTTTTCATAAGAATATTTCAGTAGCGAAGCGGTAAAATGATTCGAGTCGACTTGGCTCTTAGCTGAATTTTCCAAGAGCATATCCGAATCTAAGCGAAATTTTCGTAAGACCGCTGTTTGGTGAAGATCTAAATTTATGGTGGATGTGGGAGGTATTGTTACAGGATAGGCCGGAAAATAATTAGAACACTGATTTATAAAACGTCAGTATATTTAATTGGAATCGAACCACTTCGTTAACCGTTATACACTGTCAGAAAAAAATTAAATTTCTTAGACAATTGACTACCAATTTTCTGGACAGTGACACTCAATACGATTTAGGGGGAAAAATTCATGAAATTTCAGGTTTCACGGAAAATTCAGTATAATTCCAGAATTTTAAGAGGCATGAAGACGAATTCAAATTGCATTGAATTTTCAGTGAAATCTGACATTTAATGATTTTTTTCCTCCTAAATCACATTCAGTGTCACTGTCCTGAAAATTCAAGAATATACCTACTTTCTAGAATTTTCTAGTTCTCTATTCATTTTAAGGGAAAAATGGAACGGAAATTCACTGGTCTGTTTGATTTTTCTAGGAAATTCTGAATTTTCGATGACAAAATTTCCTGAAATTTCAGTGGAATTGGAACACAATAAAAATTTCCGGAATTCACACAAAAAATTTTAGCAGTGTATTTACACTTTGGTTTCAACTAGATTATTGAATGTCTTAAAATATTAATACTAAAGTTAATTTACTGAATTAAATAACTGTTGAATGTCTTGAATAATTGTCTTTAACTCACTGAATTTGAGGAGTTGATATATTTTTACGTGATGCTACAATTTAATACACGTGCGGTCTTCTCAATTGTTGAATTTCAACTTTTAGAGACTACCTCTCTAGGTGATTCACGTACTTTGCGCTGCATGTTGATTCTACCGGCCCGACCACTCAACGGAAGGTTCCCGATGGTGCTCGAAGATTGTCGATAGGACCAACCTTTTGACTGATAAACTGAACAAAAAAAATGCTTTTGCCAAATATATTTATTTGCCACAAGTAAATGTATATAAATATCTGCATAAGACATGTGTAAATTTTCTTGTAGTTAGTAAATATAGTTGGCAAAAGTAATTTTCTTCTCAGTGTAGATGTATAGCTACGCTTCAAACAAACACTTTTTGTAGCTCTCAATGCTCTCTCAGTTCTGTTGAGATATTTATTGAAAACTGAGCAATAGTCGAAATTGTCCTTAACCGTTTTACCGCTTCGCTACTGATTTTTATTTTGAGTAGAATTATAATCAGTTGTGGATTTAATGCTCATTCAATCAGGTCCATACACTATCCCGGCAGGATGTACACTGACCTTACAAATTTACCAACTTCATCGGGATCCAAGACACTGGCCAAATCCAACGCACTTTGATCCCGATCGCTTTCTACCGGAAAATTCAAGAGATCGACATCCTTACAGTTATATACCGTTTAGTGGTGGCCTGCGGAATTGTATTGGTCAAAAATTTGCCTTGCTCGAGGCAAAAATTGTGCTGACCGAAATACTACGAAAATGGCGAATTAAAAGTCGGGATAATCATGACAATGTTAAAGCACATACTGCTATGATATTGAGGCCACATGAAGGGATTTTCATGAACTTTTATCCCCGAAGTTACTGAAGAAAAGATGAAAAAAATAAAAGTGGCATAATTTTTAAAATCCAAGTTTTTCCATTTTTTTTTTTTTTTAAATTTGATATTATGGGAACCTAGGAATCGGAAAAAAAAATTACCCAGCATCTTCTTATAGATAGTAGAAAATGGAAAATTTTAAGCCGTCATAAATAAAAATCGGCTGGATAGAAGCCGAGTTATATTGAAAAGGCGAGTTATTGAAAAAAGACTAAAAAACCAAAGAAAAAATCATACATCCGAAATGAGTTGTCTAAAAAATCTTTAAAAAATTGAGAGATAGTTTTTGTAGCCCCCCAATCGTAGAAAAACAATCCAGATCAATTTCCCAACGGGCGAGGGTCAGCCGTTGATTCATTTCACATAGAATACCTGTTACATAATGGAAAAAAAAATGTATAAAATTAAATTAATCCAATTGTGAAGACGGAAATGGAAATAAAATAAAATAGCATAAATTAATCTATAGTGTAGGGGAGGGTAGGGTAAAATGGACACTTTAGATTTCTTTAAAATTATTCATAACTCAGAAACAAATGTATCAATAGAGCTCAGTTTAGGCTTATCCCAAAGGGAAAGAATTGCTCTTTGTAATGAAAAAAAAATGATTAAATTTCATCAACATTTCAACCCGTCACTAATATTTTTAAAAAAGTCAAGTGTCCATTTTACCCCAACCTCCCCTATTAATAAAATGGTAAAAATGTATTAACAAAATGGTAAACAGATTGTTAATTTTCATGGAATAATTGAACTGAAATTCACAGTTTGCATTGATTTTTTTCATCAAATTGTAAATTTTCAATCGCGAAAACCATTGAAATTTCAGTGGAACTATATCTTGTGATAAGAATTTCCAGAAAGTTAGTTTCAACTAATATTTCATCAGTCAATAAAAATGTTCACGTTTGGAGGACGATAAGTTACCAGCAGAGTAACTCCATGCATGCGCACCTACTCCGAAGACATTAACAATATCAAACGTCGACAAAAACGTATGCATTTCGCGCCAAAAAAATTGATGTACCATACGAAAATATTCAACCCATTTCGCGTGTTCCACAATCTATTGCAAGAGGGAAATTCAATATGGCGCCGGTGACACATTTGAGACACTGTCAAATCGGCTTGGGATACGCCTAAAATTTACAGTGTTGCATGTTAATCAAAACGATACACAAAATTATCATGTACTCGGTAAGTGGAATACTCAAGTATTTACAATACTTCATTAATAACTAAAATGCATGGAGATATGAGTGATTGAACACGTAATAGTTTGACCGCTTTCATACTTGGAGGCTATCTTGTCAAAGAGATCCTCAATCGTGTGCAATGTTGAAACAATAAAGGAACAAGCACCCCTAGACCTTCTTGTATATTTCTGCAACTAGACATTTATCGACAATTAGAAGTGATAATATACTGTGTTGCCACGACTTCAAAATTTATTAAACGCTAGTTAGACTTGAGTATTACCTTAAAGTGCCCCAATTGAACAAAACTCAAGTGTAAAACTATCAAATAGAAAAGTGAAACTCTGTGCTTGATGCTTTCCTGATTATCCTGATTTTTTTTTTAGATGTAAGACAATCCTGGTAAGTGGGACCACAGCAGGGGTACCTGGATTACTTGCACAATAAAAAATTTACAACTGTGAAAATAATGGAGGCTATTGTGGAATACAACTACGTGGCGCAAGAGCCTGATGAGTTAACGCTGCGTAAAGGGGACATAATCAAAGATATTAAAATAATGCCAGGAGGATGGTGGGAAGGCACCCTCAGAGATAAGTGCGGCATGTTTCCCGATAATTTTGTCAAGGTAGTTCTCTCATTGATTTCTCTTCATTCATTACAATTCACAATGGTTTTCTACATTGTAATGTACAAGTCTTCGTTTCTATTCTTTCGTTTTATTGATTTGGTTATATTTAGCATGAGTGATTTGATGTGACTTTCTAGTTCTTAGATTTATGAGGAAAATCATTACACGATTTTCTCCTCGGGTGATTCAGTTTAAGGATGAAATTATTGTAATTAGGTTTTAACACCTTCTCCAAGTGGCAATGGCACTTTATCAAAGAGTGACACTGAGGAGGTGACCCTGAGAAATGGCTCCCCTGGGAGAAGATGCTGCAAAGTTCTGTTCAGTTATGAGCCATGCAATGAAGATGAACTTGCACTGGTGCCCCAGGATGTTGTTGAGTTTCTGGGCGAAGTGGAGGAGGGCTGGTGGAGGGGCAGACTCAGGGGACGCACCGGTGTGTTTCCGTCGAATTTTGTTACACCACCCACACCGGACGACAGTGATAGAGAAACTAAAGAATTATGCAGAGTACTTTTTCCTTATAAGGCTAGTAATGATGACGAATTGACCCTGGATGAGGGAGATGTTGTGACAATTCTGTCACGTGATGCACCTGATAAGGTAAGAATGTCATTGGTTTTAATCAGGGATGTGCAACAATTTGTGACACGTCACATGACAAAGGCCATTTATGACAATTTTTGTCGTATGACCAAATAGGGAACTTGCATGAATTTTTTTTAATTTTCTAATCTCAAATTTGGGATCTGAATAAGTTATTTTTCCTTTCGAATGGAAGCCTTGTTTTTGACTGATTTGTCGATTTTATAATTTTGATTGCAAATGGTCTAGAATCTTGTGAAACGTGAAGAAATTATGTTTTTAGGGTCATGTCTGTATGTATGTATCCGACGACTTGAGTTTTTGGTGATTAATTTTTTGAAAATTCAACATAAATACGGTGAAACGTGTAGATAAAAATCTGAAATTTTGACTCATTATAGTTATTATTGAGCTCAACTATGGCGCGCTGTTTCAGCCCGATCGGTCCAATAGTTCCTGAGATATATCAACTTGTTTAAATTTCGTTTTTCCTCAATATCTCAAAAACTACTGCACCGATTTCAATTTTTTTTTTAAATACTTGTCTCGATGGCCTCTATAAGTCAATCAGAATATATAGACTCGTTAATACACAGTTTGGAGATATTACAGTTTTTTCGTTTTTCATGAAAAATCTTGTACGCACGATAAGTTGAGAAAAAATGGGGATATCAAGTTGAAATTTGGTATGATTATAGCTCTTGCAATACTGAAGGTTGTCATTTTGAATAGGAGTGGATTGTTTCGCTCTGCATTTCGCCTGTTTTTTTATCTTGTGAAAAAAATCGAAATTGTAATTTTAAGGTATAGAAAAATTGATTATTCTTGGACACTTAAAAGCTCTGGGAAAAGATTAATATTTGATTCTTTAATTATATAAACGCACAGAACACGACAAGAAATGATTGAAATCTGAAAATAGATGATCACTTGAATTCTTGGAAAAATTAATTATCGCCGTCACTTGGAGACGATGAAAAATGATAAAAATGTGTCAAGCGCGACTATAGTATCGATGACTCATTGCAACGAACCGAAAACCATTAATAATCTACGCGGTAAAATGATAAAGGAACGAGTGGTATTTTTTACATCTCATTGAATACGAAATTATTCCGACAATGACTCATTCTAGTGTATCACTCTCATACGTTTTTCAGTCGGCATTTTCTGCAAAAATCGCTCGTTTTTTGAACGAATATACATTTTAAAGTTTTGCGAAATTTAACGTGAAGAGTTTCAACCACTCTTCTCTAGAATTCTAACGTTCATACCGCTCAAGAAAATTCTGGGACAAAAGTTATATCTTTCCTCGATTTAGGAATATTCTCCATCGAATTTCAGCAATTGAAGCTGCACCATGTGACCTACTTTGATTTATTCAATCAAATTTTCTCAACAAAAATTCACATTCGAGGAAAGTGACGTGATTTGTTAAAACAATGACTAATCACTCGTGATTACGGAATTTTCCGTGAAATTTAATGCTAATGGGTAAAGATTTGTATAAAAGAATTGAAGAGTTCTTTCACAAATGAAAACAAAATTATTTATTTATTTATTTATTTACTGAAACACGAATCCAACAGCCGAAGCCAATAATAGGATTCAAAACATACAGAGAATAGCAGTATTCACTGAAGAGGTCAGCAGATCCAAGAGGGCATATAATGAATATATTCAATGGCAAAAAACATTTACAGTAACGCTCAAAAATAACTAAAGTACTTGGATATCCTTAAGAGCAAAGGTTCTCAATTTAAGGGCTGAATGGATTATCTTTCAAACTATATGTCGACTGTTTTTACATCTTCATAGTGTAAAATATATCACAATTTCCATTGAATTTCACATCACGCAGCAGTCCCTATTATGATTGTACAATCAAAAAAGTAGAAAAAAACCATTTTCAAAGATTGTTTCTAATCAAAATTAGGAAGTAAGTCCATTCGAGAGGAAATTGTAAATGGGTAATTTATGATAGCAACTAACCATCTAACAACAATTAATTACTGTGACAAATGTCGACCTAACAGCTATTAGATGCAGTAAATTATTAATTTGCAATTTCCTCCTTATTAGGTTTATTTCACTTTTTAATTTTAATTTTTTGGGTTTATATTATTCAAAAAGACTCTTTCAGTTTAGTATTTTTTTCAACGTCTATTTGATTGTATAATCATAATTTTTGGACATTCCAGGGTTATTTAAAACGGAATGGCAATTGGAGAACGTTTCAGATTATCAAAATGAAAAAAAAACACAATTAAGGATTTTTCTCGCTCGAAATAAGTAGATTATTATTACAGCATAAGTAACTAATTTCTTATTCCCAAAATCAGTAACTTGATTCTGGAAACTACAACTGTTTCTTTTCTCTCTTCTGTAATGTCTGCACGTTCCAATGTTTCAGGGTTGGTGGAAGGGTGAATTGAATGGAAGAGTCGGTCTCTTCCCCGACAACTTCGTTGCAGTGATGGGTCCCAAGCCTGATAATCAACAAAACCAAGAGCACTGGCAGGAGACGAGTCAGTCAATGTCAAAATCAGGCAGCTTGAAGAGCTCCTACACCGGCAAAAAAGGAGAGAAGGCTAATGTACGAAAAAGCTTGGACTCCAGAGGGGCAAATGAAAGTTCCAAAAAGGTGGCCTCCTCAGCTACTTCTACCTTAATGTCCTCATCGTCCACTTCAATGTCGTCCACACAAATGATCAACTCAGTAACAACTAATGATAAGAAGTCCATGATTCTGACGAATCTTAAAAGAATGGTGGAGAAACCAGGTGATAATAATGTGGAAAGTGTTGAAGGTTGTGAGAGTGGGCTGGGGGAAGAGTTGGATGGGGTTGAGCGGGGGGAGGGTGCACCATTGTCCCATCTCACAGCATCACGTGCCAAGGCACCACGGAGGCGTCTACCGTCCAGTCAACATTTCAGAAATCAGGGGGGAAATATGACTGGAGGGCTTACTTCTTCAGGACCGAATGCTTTGGTAATATTTTTTTGCTATGAGTATTCGAAAGAAGTATCTTGATCGTGTAAATGATTTCATTTGATCCAAATATTTTGTGGATTAATGCAATTGAGAAATTCACCATTTTTTCATATTTATAAATTATATAAACACGTGTGAAGTTTTTCAATTGAATTGCACGAGACAGATTTGGAATTTAGGATATCCAAGTATCTTTTACAGTTTGGTACAGACCACACTATAGATTCAACCATTTTCAATCATCAAATTTGTCGATTCAATTGCGTGAGAAAAATTTGAAAAAAATAATGAATACTCAGCCTCATTAAAATTATATTTTATACAGAATTATTATTTTTTTAAACATTCATTGTTTATAAATCAATAATTGAAATTATTTAAACTTTTGGAAATTGATTGTTTATAAAGTATTTATAGAAAATGCTCATAATTTTCAAAAATTGAATTTTTAAAATTATTCCATCTTCCTCCAAAAGTAAACTTACTAATTTAGCTTCAGATTTTTTTAATATTGGAGATATTGAGACCTGCAAAGTTTAAATAATAAAACCATTGTAAGATGTCCGGAAACTTAGGGTCAAATGGGGTTCAAATGAAAGCTTTTCAGTGATGAAAAAGTAATCAATGTACTTGGATATCCTTAAATACAAAAAAATGATTTTAAAACATTCATACATTGTCAACATTAACGGAATTCTATTCCCAATATACGGTAGACAAATAATTAAAATTATTTAAACATTGGGCACCTTATTTTTTATCATTAAATGGATTGCTGGAGACATGCAAATTACCGGGATAGAAAATCAGAGAATAAGGAATTGAATATGAACGTAAAACAGCATTAATTTCCAATAATGGCAACTTTTTCCAATCAGCATCGAAGCAGTAAAACTCTTATCTGAGTTTTCGAGGAATATCTCTAAATCTAAGGAATATGGAGAAATTTTCGTAATAACCTTTTTTATAAATCTTAATCCGCTCTACAAAAAAGGTTACAACAAAAATTTTGCAATCTGCCTTATATCCCGAGAGATTAATTGAATGCTGACCAATAATAAAACTCGACTTGAACCAGTTTACCGCTTCGCTACTGAAATATTTCATGTATTCTTCTCGAACAGTGAATTTTCTTATATTCTCTCCAATTCTTGAAATATTTTTGCATGAAAATGCCCAATGTTTAGACATTGAAAAAGATTTCAACAAAACAAATTTTGAAGTTATAAATGGTTCCAATTTTTTGGCAGGATGATAATGTAACGAATGGTACGATAGACACAGTAGATCAATTCCGAGAGGAAGACAGTGATGGAGTTGTCGGTAAATCCCGAAGGAAAGCCCCTTGGGTAAGAATCATATCCTCATCATTGATCAAACCGATAATCCACTATTGCGTTAGATTGAACAGCCCGACAGCTGGACTGGGGCCAGTACCTGGACGATTTCACCTTTTATTGAATATTCTCTAAATAATAGAATAAAAACTGTACGGATTATTATCATTATCATTAATAACACCTATTTATAATCATGTGATGAAGTTTTTTTCGAAATATCAACATTATAAATCAGGGCTTCCAATACCACCAAGATATTTAATGACTTTGAAATTCTGCTCAGAGGTGAAGATCTGGAGAGATGGCGTAGCTCTACCTCTTGCCAGCTCATTCCTTCCTTCAGCTCCCATGGCCCTATTTAGAAATCGCAATACCTCATTGACAATCGCAGTCTCCATATCAAACGCATTATTGCTCAAGTCAGACTTGCGAACAGCTTTAACTGTTATTTTTACACCTCCAATGAAAAAATATCATTCAAGCCGAAAAGTTTATGTATTTATTGCGATTCTAATGCTGCTGACACTCTTGATCACTTCTTTATTAAGTGTTTAGTTACTCTCAACTTGCGATCAGCTCTTTTTACCAGCTGCCCACAGCTTGCAAACCGCTCGTTAGGTGATATCATTTTCAATGATAGTTATGCTGAAATTAAAGCCATGTATAAATTTATCCTTAATTGCTTAACTTCCAGACGAAATATTGATAAGTTGAATGCCTCGGTACGCTCTCTTCAAAATCTTTTAGCTTCTGTGAATGATAGACCAGTTGTGTACATATCTCTGCACTTTCATGATTTATCGCTATTTTTTCACACTTTACGCTCTCAAATGTAAAAACTATGCTTTACCATGTACTCATTGTACATGATTTATAATTTACTTCCCCCCTGCTATGGGGCTTTGTATCCTTTATGCAGAAATAAATAATAATAATGATAATAATAATAATAATAATAATAAATCAGGGGAAAAGTATCGTAGAGAAAAGAAAAGTTCTCTTCCGAAAGAGTCAGATGTGGGAAATGGGTACATGTCCAAATAACTTCCGTTAAAAAAACTTCGTCAAAAAAAATTGATCAAAACAACTTGGTAACAAAAAAACTTGAAGAAAAAAATCTTTTAAACTTTTAACGTATGAAGAAAATTGCAAAAAAATGGAAAATAAGTCCACACACATACAAACCTACATACAGACCTTCTAAAAATCGCATTTTTGGACTTTTTGGACCATATTTAGTTACCCTAAAGATTTGAAATTTAAATTTGGAAACTTAAATTTGAACGATTACGATTGTTGAAAAACGGATAACAACACTCTGAGATTCCAAACATAAAAACAGATTTTACCTATATTCTTACAAAAGACAAGATAACTTGAAGGTTTTATTGACGGAAGCTCAATTTGACAAAAGTTTAATTAACCAAAAGTTCGCTTTCCCCAGTTGAATTTAACCAGGTTCTTTTAACGAAGTGTTTTAGACGTGCTCCGGTAGGAAATAGCACTATATTTTCAAAGGGAGAATTATATCCTGAAGATTAACAATCTATTTGACCTTGTATTTCTTCAAATTCAAGAAAACAAAATTCACATGTTTGCATAAACTGGATGAAAAATCTATATTCCTCTAGACCGTCCATGTATTGGCCATCCACCGTCCATCTCTATTGGTCTTAGCATCCGGTAATTGGAGATTTGGACCATATTCCATTTTTCCCTCATTTAATTATTTGTCTCTTCATTATTTCTGCTTCAAATTATTGTTTTCTTCCTAATTCATATATTCTTTCAGGTCTAGAACTCATTTTTTATTCATTTAGCTACTCCATCGATTTAAAATCCTTTCATGAAATTCAACATTTCTTTAGCCGTCCAGCTATTGACCTATTTACCCTTTTTCACATTCTTTCAATTGAACTCTTCCAGATAGAGGAACTGAAGCAGAACCAATTGGAGAAACGCAAAGTCTTCCCCCCAGAGAAGCCTGAAAAGCTCGAGAGAAAGAAAGAGCAAAGGACGTCAAGACCACCAATACCATCCACTATCCCCGACACAGAGATAAAAACAGAACCGGAAAATGTGGAGGCACGTCAGAGGGAGAAAGATAAGGACAAGGAGAAGGAGCCGAGTCAAAGACCCGAGTCAAGTTATCTCACATGTCCTGTGTCACCCAATGCTACTGGCGGCACTCCAGCCTATGTTCCCTATCGGCTTTACAGTCAACTGTTAGATAGAGTGAGTTTATTTGTCGTTGAGTTGTGAATGGGATTCATTCATCTGTTCTACACATTATGATTAACGAACCCTTCTTTCTTATTTTCATATATTCCACAAAATTACCTATTACACGTAATACAGTCAATTCTTTTTTTAGACATCTTTGATGTTTTACATCAAAGGGATACCTTTTTGTCTTTCGTAGAAGCATATTTACAAGTATTATTTCGATTATTTTCCGTCAGTGATACGATTCTGTAAATCAAAATTATCTCCGAACGCTCAAAATTAGAGTTTTTGATTTTTGTAACCGAAAATTCAAATTGAAAACCATCCCCAACGCTCAAATTGTTGATGGGGATTTAAAAAAATGAGTGGAAAATTTCTCTTGTATTGTATATAGCATAATTATTATTGCTAACCAATCAGCTAAAATAATTAAAAAAATAAAAAAAAAATAAAAATTTTAATACAAAAATAATAAATGAAAGTTTGACTGTCCCTAAAACATTACCCCACGCGTATTAACATTCCCCCTTTTTCACACTTGTAATGTAATATACTATTTTCTATTAACATTTTATCGAAGGGCTGAGGGGAGAGAGAGAACCGTAAAGAAGACAATCGGTTGTATGAAAGAAAGGGATAGTAAAAATAATGATGATGATAACGTTTAAATAATTTGAAAGTCTGATAAAATTAGTTAAAAAGAAATCTTATTCAATTTAATAAAATTAAATAAGCAATGAATCGTGATACAAGGAAATAATGTACAGAATAACCATTCGGAAGCATATTGCTAATTTATTAGCAATAAAATCACTATACTATATTCAATACACGAACAATTTCCCACTAGTATTAGATTGAATAAGATTTCTGTTTAACTAATTTTGTCAGATTTTCAACTCAGTTCAGTATTATCATCATCATTATTCTTATTATCCCTTTCTTCTATACAACCGATTCTCTTTTTTTACGGTTCTATCTGTCCCTCAGCCCTTCGATGAAATGTTAATAAAAAAATCTTGTTTACTTGATGAATTTGAATCATCACAAACTCACTTTCAGGGAAATTCATGGAAATTTAGAAATTTTCAACCATCATCATAAAAATCAAATCAACCAATATAGCTATCGCAATCATCTTTTAACTTCGACTTAATGGCATTAAAACAAATATTTTAATTAATTATAATTAAGGACATTATTATCAATTCAACTTTATTTATTTATTTCACTTTATTTTGATTCTTTCAGGTAACTGCACTAGAGGAAAAGCATACGGTATTACAACGAACAGTTGCACAACTGTCCGAACAATTGAGTGCATCAACCAATAAACATTAATTCCCTATGGAATTCCTTGAGTATTTCTCCAACATTCCCAACTGCGAAATATTTTCTCAGCAGAATGAAACAGAAAGATCACTATTGGAATTTAGCAGCTAAAAATTTATCTTTATTCGTTGTCGAACATCTAGATGGTACTGGATAACTGTCTACCTGTAACGCAATTCATACCAGTATTTTGATTTTACTATTTTAACAGCTCGATTTGTACTGTATTTTTAAACGTAACATTCCACAAATCACTAGTGATGAAAAGATTTGTAGTAAGCTGGCACTGCCAAGTACCGGAATTATTTCTGTTTATCTCGATTCCTTCGATTGCCAGCTATTGAAAAATTTTGATAATTGCATTTAACGCATTTGACACTGATGAGATTTAGAAGTACTTAAAGAAGAATGTAACCCTGTATTTTTTTGGTCGATTGTTCATGCGAGATAACGAATCCAAGAGACATTGAAGGGGCTGTTTTATTTGATCATGATGTTGTGCCAATGAATTTCCTTTGGTTTCTGAAAATATTGAACATCGTAAGATATTTTGAATCTGTTTATCAGGGGATTCCAAGACTGTACAGAATGAGCAATAGGAAATTAATGAAAAAAGCGTATATATTATATATAAAAATTGAAAGAAAAATAAGATGACTTTCAGATGTATTTCTGCTTTTTGTGGTTGAAATGGTGCTAAAGTACAGTAGAATTTATTCACTAAAAGCGCCCTAGATTTAATTTACATAAAAGTACACGCGCGGCATTTCTATTTTCACATTTTTTAAAACCAAAAAAGTAAGGAACAAAAGATATAACTGTGACCTGAAGAATTCAATATTGAATTGGATCCTTTAATTGTGATTATTCCCTCCCATCCACCAGTGATTTAATGGGCAAAGTAACAATAATTTTTACCTGAGTAGAAACCGATTATTTATCACTATCATCAATTTCATAATTTTTGTACTTTTATAATTCTACCAAAAAAATATACGACGATCCAAGTTTAGTCGCATTCATTATGAAATTGAGTGGAACATTGATACGATGTTCGATGAAGTGCGTTATACCGCGCGGTATTGATCAACACTTTAACAGAAACAAAACAAACGAGAGAAAACAAAGGGCAGCATTTGCTAGTATTTTTATCCGTCTGATTATCTCTAACAAAAAAATAACTGAAAATATTTAAAATGTAATTAAGATGAAATAATTTTGTTCGATGGTACTGTCAAATTAATCGTGTACTTAATGAGCAAGATAGAGATTTCGACTGGAAAACGGAAAGAAACGAAAATTACCATAATTTAAAATGATTTCAAGAGTGAAGTAAACAGTAATACCATGTTACAATCATGTAAATATTACTATCAAGCGTCTCGCATAAATATAAATATATTTTATTTGTTTTCAACGTTGAAAAAAAATGTGCATCGAGAGAGACGAAGGCCGGGATTTCCAAAGGCCAGAAAGGAAAGATAAAGGTTGTAAATATTTCAGTGAAATAAAATTTTCTTTACCTTAATGTGAACTACGGCTGTGGCGAGCTACGTCTACCACTTTTTATCGTGATGTTTTCGTCTTGATCCTTGCATGCCTGGGTAATATTTCACAGATGAATGGAAATGGTCGAGAACATGGGAATACCTTCCAGAGTGTATGATTGTTCCCATGAATGTTGGAGCGAATCAGGCCGACGCACCCGCGCGATGTTGGTTCTCCCTGGGCCCATCGTCGGTCACCAGAACACTCCAGTTTGTCACCTAAATGCAAGACTACAAATTTAGTAAAATGAGTCCAGCACATCCACGTGTGCGAATGAGGAACATGTACGTCGAAAGAAAATTGTAAAACAATATTCTTGAAGTAGACACGTATGAAAATTTCATAGAAAAATCTAGCGAATTCGCTTGACAATTCTGTTGGAAAAAGTCAATAGAGTTCGATTTTTCTATACAACCTATTCTATTGTCATATTTTCTATGGAATTTCCTCGGCTCAAATTTTCCAAGTTTCGTTGTTTGATTTTCTTAATGAAAAGAAAAGAAAAATAGCGCCGCGTCACGTCAGCATAAATCGACATAATGATAAATTTGAAAGATCTAGGAAAAATCTGAAAAAAATCAAGAGTGATGTAGATCGTATACGTGAAGAAGTTCCGTGAGATTTTTTATGTTCAGTGTTGCCTTAATTATATATTCAAGCTCAAAGTCACCATGTTTTTCTGAAAATTCACCTTATACACAAAAAATTTGAAAATCCAACTACTTATGATATTTTTGGCGGATACTTTCATTGATAGGGCTTGTAGATACTTCAAAATGAAATGTCAAATTTTTCTAATGCTTTAATGTGGAGTAATTTAAAAAATCGGAAATGGCGACGCGACGCTCATAGCGCGACCAATGGAGTGTTAACGAATATTTATTTGGTTATATTCAACTCTACCATTCGTTAATAGGTAACGAATCTTGTTTCAAATAGATGAATCATTCTATCAGTGTAGACAATTCCGAAAGAAACTCACCGGCTAATTGATTGACTTAATCAATATAAATATCAGATACGTTTTTCTCCCATAAATCTGAATCGAGAAAATGAACTGCAGCGTGAGAAAGAGAAGGAAGAAGAATGACGAAGAATTCAAGAAAAACACTAAGCAAAATATTTTTCAAGATTAAAGAAATACCAATTGTAGTACAAATAGAAAAAACAAATGATTGAAATGACATTGAGTTGTAATTCTGCAAATATTATCGAATGAATTCATTATCCCACGCAACCTAACTAGCGCGCATCTTTGCTAGTGAAAAAAAAAAAATGCCACGTCCACGGACTAGAAATAAAGACAAAAGCATGTCAAGAGAGAAAAAGACGATCGTACATGAAGAGGGTTGAGAGGAAGGAAAAGACCAAATGCGCAACGATATGTTTCTGATTTAAAGACGTTAAACTTTTGTCTGTATTGTTTACCAAATTCGTTTTTCCAATATCGCTCTTTTCCTCGATTGCTCAATCCCACGTACACTGGCGTTCCACGGAAAAGAAATGGAGATAGACCGGCTGTTCTCTCTGCACTCATAACATTGGACAATTTTCCTCCAATGTTCTCGCAGGCTGATCGAGCATTTGTGTAATTCTGGGGTGTCTCTTTGTGCACAAATAGCCCGATAGTCGGTACGCATACAGCGGTTTCATTTCCTATGACGAAAGATTCAATCAACGAAGGATATATTCAGTCCAATCTTCGTATTAGATACCACAGGGACTGTAGGGGACTAATAGTACATTCGAGTACAAGGGTACAAATTTCGTTTTCGACGAATGTGAAGTTTACAGGCCGAGCCGAAGGCGAGATCTGTATTCACATTCGTTGAAAACGAAGTTTATGCCCGAGTGGTCTGTACTATTTTATGCCACATCGTGCAGAAGTCGAGTTTGAAGCACGCTGCGCGAAGCGCAGCGTGCGATAAACTCGACTTATTGCACGACGTGCCATAAAATTCTGAGAATTACGTATCCCCCACTCTACTTGCGCTCAGAGGGAAAAATATTTAGATTTGATATTCTTCGTACAAAACACTAAAAAATTTCTATTTTTGTGACCATTTGAGTACGATTCCTGATGTAAAACACGAATGTTTGATTAGAAGGTATTGTTCCTTCTTAAAATAACAATTTAGAAATTCGAAATAAGTGAGTTTGTTAATAGGGGTCTGCGAGGCAAAATTGAGACTTTCTTTGGAATTGTGATTTTCATGAAAATTGGGTGGAATTTTGTTTTGTTTATCTATCCATCCAAAAAGTGGACGTAAAACACATGGTGCAGTAGGTGTAAAAAAATTGATATTTTACCGAGCTTTATGACCGATGCGTTTAATTTTTTTTATTAACCGTAACGAGTGTCCATTCGCTTTGAAATTTAATTGATGTGCAATTAAGTTCTAGATTATAGATGCATATATTTCCAGTATTTTCTGCAATATCTCAACCATTCCCACTCAATTCTAATCCCTTTGTCGAGTATCTTGCTCGGAGAATGCGAAACGAAAAACATTCAAGCCAGAAAGTGGGGGGTATCGCTCGGCACGGCTTCAGGCCTAGTATCTTATATGAAAGTATTTTGTACGGAGACTGAACTGTACACAGAGAAGAAAAAGGTAGGCGGAAGAAAAAGCCACGAAAAAAAAGCCGACGCACCGATCACATGTTAAAACCCGTGCGATTTCGTAGTTTCGAAGTTTCGAAGAAAAATTGGAGAAATTGAGGTATTTAATTTCAAAATATTCGTTGGTTTACACATAAATCAAAATTATTCTCATGACTAAATATGTTGACATTCTCATGACTAGTATATCTGAATCAACACGATCATGCATTGTTCCAAATAAATTATAATTGCAGTGAGCATTTCATATGTCGAATCAGGATGAATATTGTTACACGGAAAAAGCTTTGAGATTGAAGATGCCGTTGGGTTGAATGAAGTTTATATTTCTTGACTAAAAAAATGGCATTAGTTTTGCAATAACACAATCACAGATTACGCAATTCAACAGAAACTTGGATATCACAAATTGCGTTCAATGTGATGTATGGAAAGCTCAATTTAAACGTCAGCTTCATTCGAGAAAACAACATTCAATTCATTCCTCAATTTAATCATCTCCTAGGTTCGAAAATTTTTTTTTCTCTCATATACCCTTTCCGGTTTTTACAAGTTGTTCCCTTCCTATCCCCCAACCCCCTGTACTACATTCGCCGGAGGACGAGGGAAAACCTCATTTGAGGGAAAAACCTGCCCAGGTACAGTCGTCTCTTGCAATCCTCCCGGTCGACAATATCTTTCCGTAGTAATTTTCTGTTTACGAGTTTGGGGCAGCGCCAATACTAATCCCCAGACCAGAAAAAGTGAAGGTCAGTACGGAAAAAGCACATTCATATTTCGGGTTTTTTTTTCAACAAAATGGGTGAAAGAATAATAGAATTATCAATAGATTCTCGAATTGTTCCGTACGTAGTACTTATTCTAACTGAAATCTCCCAATTACCAAGCATCAATTTTCGGGAGTAAGCACTGTAATAATTGAATTTTTCATCCTCAACTAATGAACTCAAAGAATTGACGCCAGGGCATGCAAGCACTTGGCAATTGAATCGATCGATGTCATCTCTCCTCGAATGTTTTCTCCTCAGCATCGAAGAAAAATTGAAAGCCAGGCCTTTTTTCACAACAGCAAACGCCAAGCACTCCTCCAATGTCGGGATCTCTCTTCTGGTCAGTATGTGATCCTGCGATCGTGCCTTACGCTTCAATAATTTAAATTTCGGTGATGTAATGTCCTTCGTTCCACAATAGGGATTCGTAAACACAGATTCGATGGAACACAATAATAATATCACTCGAAAAATAATTGAAATCATTATGAACTCCATAAATTAAAGATTGAATTTGAGTCGGATATATTTATCATGGAAAAATAGAACTGTTAAGAACTTTTTTTAACGAGAAGCAAGTGACAATGTATGCATGAAACAATCTCACTATGTACATAGATACAATAGAATCTGGAAACTTTAAACATTGGTTCTATGTATAATTGTCGAGCAGGAAGTAACTGCCGGATATTTCAAAGTGTATTCGATGTATATTTTTACTTTTGATTTAGTTGCATGTTTTTATTGACTGTGTGCATTCTGTTGTGCTCTGATGAGTCTCATCCAGTTATTTCGCCATGAGGAATCAGGAAATGGATTGATGAATTCACGAAGCGAAGAGTGGATCCAAAGCCTTGGAAACTTCCGCGAAAATGTCATCAATTGCACCCTCAGCATTTATCTGCGTTATCATGAAATTCATGAAAATATGACAAATATATCAAAAGAATAAAACCAATTATTGTTTAATAAAAAATATTATACATGATTCGATAATATCTTATCCTCAATTCTGGGCTAAGAATTCTCAATTTGAGAATAACATATTTTTCATCCAAAAAATTTCGATGAGGCGTTCTTGAATGGAGAATAATTTATTCTTGAAATAAAAATATCTATTCATCACTTGTGCATAAAGTAAAATTTTACGCAGGCTCCGCTTGCGCAAAATCCCACTTTCCACACATTGTGATGAAAAATAGGGTTCGACACTCGTGGGAAAAGTGTTATGTGACATTTACTGTTGAACATCATAAACATTGTGGCTCAGTATAACAGAAGGTTCTAAAATAAAAGTAAAATTTAATTTGGCACGAGTGAAAATTCGGTGAAGATAAATCAAATTTTATTAGTATATTGTGTTACTAGTGCGTAAAGACCCACTTCTTCGCACGCACGTGTAACACATCCTATTTTTTATGATACCTGCCGGTACAGTGTTTTTTCCAAACATAATAATTTTTGTTTTTTTAGAGAGATTTCATTTATTTTTGCAAAGCTAGCAAATAATTGATATTGTGTTTGTCTACAAACTTCCAAGTTTCCAGCAACGTCGCGCAACGGGCAATTTCATTTAACATGGGAAAAAATTGTTCAACTGTTGGAAATGATTTTTTTTCTTCCAGAATTTGGGATGTAATATTCAAAAAACAATACTAAAATTTTCCAGATACTTTAAGTGACGAATTCAATTTTTTTCGGATTTTTCCGGTTAACCAGCCGGTGACAAGACGAAAAAAACGACACGTTGGGGCAATTCCCTCGCATGGTGACCAATCTAGGGTTAATATTGACCTTGAATAAAAAAGGCGGCATATCAATGAAAAGCTTGTGAGCGATTTATATGATGTAACTAAGGGTATTTTCCATGTAGCTTATCTCGTTGTTATTTTATTGAGGACCAGTTTTTGGTTTACCTAACCATGGTTAGACCTCGGTTAAAGTTAAGTCAACTCCGCATGACATGATCCGGAGGTAGTGGAGGGGATAGATACTTCGCGTATAGATACCCGCCAGCGCCTGGCTGAAAATGTGGGACAGTCGGCGTCAAAAATATTCCTTGGCCGATACACTGCCGCGTATCTCGATTTTATATTCTCTCCGCTCTCTCTCTCCTCTCCGTATGCCTTTTTATGTGCCTTCTAATTACAATTGAATTCATTGCAAAATGAATAATTAATGAAGACTTACGCGAACAACTTTGTCTTTGTAATGATCGACGATTTCCCCATTTTTTACGTTGAATATTTCAATCCGTTTGACAATTGTTGCTTCATTATCATCCGCTCTTCCGGATACTGCAGCTCGTCCTAGCAACCTTGTTTTCATGGTTTCACTTGCAACGTCGAAGAAGATGATTAAATCGGCTGGACAAACCTTTGAAAAATGACAAATTTAATTTGAAGGACAATTGAAGATAATTGAAATGCGAAAAGATTTTTTTTCTTTAATATTCATTTTCGATCACTTAATTGCTTGCGTAATAGTAGATGGGGTTTTTAGGATGAGTCAATGGAATATGTGTCTTTGTCGAGAGAAGTCATCTAGAATTTGGATTTTCTATAGAAAAGGTTCCATGAAGGAAAAACATGCCAAGTTCAGTAAACACCTCTCTAATAAAAAAACGGTAATAGGAATTCCTCTGATTAGATTCTGAACAACATCGCCTCAGCAGCGCTTTAGATTTTGCAATAAAACTGGTGAAAAAACGTCGAAAAATGACATTTTTTTTACAAATTTGATGATTCCTCTCAAAGAAACGTTCAGATTGATTTCTTGTCATCATAATTGATGCAGCTTTACATGATTAAGACGAGTGAAATTCCAGCAAAATCGTCTCCACTGGTTTCGGAGTAATTCGAATATGAATTTTTGAAATTTGAAACTTTTCAAAGATTTTTCAATATATAATAGCTCAATTTTTTTCATTCTAATTTCCTGTTTTTTTCATTAAGCAAATCAAACAAAAAAGCTTAGAAAATTTGAGCCAAGGAAATTCAATGGAAAATATCTAAATAGAATGAGTTGTGTAGAAAAATCTAATTCTAATGAATGAAGGAAAGGCAATTGGTCGGGAAATTATTGGTTCGACTGGTAATGGGTCGTAGCAGATGGGAACGAGCAACCAACAACCTAGTCGAATTTTTTCAATAGAATTCAGCAGCCGTGCGGTTTAGGTCGATCGATTTAGTCCTCAATTGAGTTTTTGAGGAATATCTTCGATTCTAAGGGAGATAACAAAATTTTCATGATGACCGTGTTTGAAATGCAGCAATTAAGTCATTATCTAAAGTTACCGGGCTCAACTGAAAATCTCGACCGACTTCGGGACCCTTCGGGTTCACGGGCAAATCACGAAGCAAATCGCCAAATATGAAATTTCAGTAGTATCAATCTACTCCTCAAAGAGTATACATCGGTTAGTCAGAGAGTCACCTATAGAGTTCAGTATCAAAGTAACCGAGTATCAAGTACATCACCGAGTATTATATTAAGTCTAGCCCTCTGGGTAGCGTCTCTATTTCGTTTAATGATCAATTAATTTCGAGTTAACTATCAATCATTTTGAGTCAATCATCAAGTTTAATATCGAGAAAATCTCTAGTGCAGTGTAAAGACTATTATCAAATTGATATTGACACATTCACCAATTTGTGTATCCCTAAACTCAAGACGCGTGGCTTGCGCCACAAATAAAGTACTTCACTAGTGTTTTTGTAATCCGCGTGTCTTTAATTTCACCCTTTCCATATCACGTGCCTCCAATCCGCCCTAGTAGCCTCAATCTCTAACAGACCGTTTTTGTAGCCCTCAATCCACTCTGCAACAAAGGTTATGGGAAAAATTTTGCTACATCCCTTAGATTTTGAGATATTCATTGAAAACTGGCCAATAGTCAAAATCTGCTTGAACCGTTTTACCGCTTCGATACTGAATTCATGGAAAACAAAAAGAATTTTCAATGGAACGCGCCATAGTTTTTCCTATGAAATTATTTCGTGCTTGCTGAAATTGAATTGTCTCCACTTCGCGACTATATTATCAAGATTAAAATACAAAAAAGAATTATTTACGTCTTTTTCGAATTGAATCCCTTGGTCCAACTCCCTGGGATATCCGTCGATAAGAAATCCGGCTTTTCCTCCCTCTGCGCGTGCTTTTTCCATTCGCTCTTTGATCAGAGAAAGGACAACATCCTGGGAAAAATTCAAAATGAATGCAATTTACTGCATTGTTTGTTTATGTAGAATTTGGAGTGCAGATAAATCAGTAATTTGGTGATTACCGTAGGCACGAAGAGACCTTTTGACATGAGTTCTTGGAGCGAAGCACCCCTGGGGCTTCCACTTGCCACTTCTTCTCTCAATAGATCCCCGCTGCTCAAATGCAAAAGACCATATTTGGCGATAATTTTATCACACTGCGTGCCTTTGCCACATCCTGGTCCACCGATTACCCAGATTGTCTTCATTTCTACAATTCCTGCGCACGGAACGAAAAATGTATTTTAATATTTTTATTGACGTAATCATTGTTTTATCACAGGATCGACTCCCACGCGAAGAGAATGTAAAATTAAAAATTAAAAGTATTGAAGAAATGAGATTTAAATGTAAATAAACAATAAACAAAGGGGAAAAAGGGGGAATAATATTGGTGAATGGAGGCTGAAAGGATGTGTGAGAAAATAGGATGTTGGAATGGTGTGAAATAGATGTCCTTTTTTCTATTTTGTAAAATTGGTATAAAAGTAGCAGGGCTCCTCTAATCCGTGAAAGGGAAGATAAATATATGCATACATACATACATACAATCAAAAATTACTGAATTTTTTCCATTTTTTTTTAATTCATGATTTTTTGTGAATATGGTAATCGAGAACCGTGTCGAAAAACTTGAAAATTTGATTTATTTTAACCGAACTTTTGCGATGTGGAATTCATTTTTTACGATTTAACGTAGTAAAGTTTAACGGACAAAATAGTATAAAATGCACGGACGAAAAAATAATTTTTAAAAGTGTTATAAATGCTCAATATTTTTATCAATTTTTACTATTGAACAACGAGAAATTACTCAAATCGTACGAGTTTTCACTATGTTGAATTGCCATTTTTCCTTACAATTTAAAACTTTAATGTATACTCTCGCACCTCCTACATTTTACTCGAGGAAATAGCAGAAATTACTATATTGACTAGTAAAAACTCCAGTGGACGACAAGAACGTCGATTGTTTTCAATTTTCGGAATCTCCTCCTTCAAAAATTCAATCTTTCCTCTCCCCCTTCCTCTTTTTCAGAAAGATTATACGTGGAGCAAAATTATTGATAATAATTTTCAAGGATGATGAAGAAGATTGAATATGGTTTTCCACTTGGGTTATTTAAAGAATCCCCTTTTCCCTCGCCCTCTTCCTCTTCTTTCACTTGTGTCAATTGGAAATTTAACTTTTGTGCTACCATTTTCTACTATACCCACTTACAATTTTTTACTATGTATTTTTTCATCCAGCACGTCGTGGGTTTTCATTTTTGAATTGTTTTGCCCGGTGGCCTGGCGTAGTGGTTAAGACCGTTGCCTCACAACGGATAGGTTCCAGGTTCGATTCCTGGCCGGGTAGAATGGTGAGATCTAACCATTTTTAAAGTCTTGATCAATCGCCATATAGTCTCATCAGACTCGAAGCGATATAAAATAAGCATAACAAAAAAAAAAAAAAATTTGAATTGAAATTTCCATGTTTTTTTTACCCTCAAAACCAAATTCAATTTCGCTCTCTCAATTATTGCTGCGAACTGTCTGTGAAATTTCAATTTTTTCTAACTGTTGAAAAAATTTGGCTGAATTTTACGGGAAAAAAACTTGAATTCGATTTAAGTGTACAAAGTCAATGGAATTTAAAGTTTGACTAAAAAATCAAGTAAAGTCCCAATTTTTTAGCGCCAGGAAGACGGAAATTCTGCAGTTGACATGAATTTTCAAATGAAAATGAATATTCACTGCTAAATTCCCTTAAATTTTTGGCTGGAAGTTCCGGTCCACTTCTTGGAAATTTTTATCAAGTCACCATACCACTGGAATTTCAAGGAATCTTATCATGGGAAATTCATAATTGGTTAAAAGAATCAATAGAAATTATAAATTTCAGTTCAATTTTTCCATGAACACTGACAGAAATTTAAAAAATTCAGTTACATATATTCTGGAATTTTCAATTGACCCAAAGCTCAACGGTGCTTAATGTCCATATTTTGATTGAAAATTCAAATAAGTTGAAAATTTTTCGTCTCCGTGCTGCTCAACAATTTAGAATGCCATTGCATCTCCAGTGGAATTGAAAGTTTCATGATTTTTTTGCCCCCAAAATCAAATTCAATGTCGCTCTCTCAATTATTGCTGCGAACTGACCGCGAAATTTCAATTTTTTCCTAACAGTGTACACTGTTAATAAAATTTCGCTGAATTTTTCGGAAAAAGACGTTGAATTCCATTTAAGGAGAAGAAGTCAATGGAATTTAAAAGTGTCTCTGAAAATTCAAGTAAACACAGAAATTCCACAATTTACATAAATTTTCAAGAGAAAATGAATATTCACTGCCAAATTCTCGTGCATTTTCAGGGAACTCTTTCAGAATTCTTGGAATTTCAAGAATGTTTAAAGGAATTCCCTGAAAATTCAAAGGAATCTAGAATTTAAGGGGAGATTTTTCTGAATTTTCCTGATTTATCTTTAATTTTCTCGGAATAATTCAACTGAAATTTCCAGTTCCCACGGGTTTTTCCATGAATTTATGAATTTTCAATGACAAAATGCCTTGAAACTTCAGTGAACTTGTTACTTGTTAAAAATTTCGGAGACCCTTACCGGAAATTCCAGTGTAAAAATTTTCACAGTATATTTCTGCTACCCATAGAGAAATATTTCAAAATATAAACGGCGCAATTGTTCAAAAATGAAAAACATCTCTAAAAGAAACTTATAAAAGATCCTATTTTTTATTCTAAACTTTCCTTACTTTTGCGCACGTCTCACTTCCAAAAAAAGCTCGTTTTACTGAATTATTCATGAACCACCAGTTATGTAATAATAAAAATTCACATCATTGTTAAATTCCAACCCTCACCTTTTACCACCAGAATCCAGGAAAATACAAACACGAGGAATGCCAGATTCTCCTGGACGTATTGAATTAAAATCTACACTAAAAGTTTTGACACAATAAATGAAAAAAAAGTTGAGATTAAAACGTTTTGTCTAGCCAACATTTCGAAATTATTGATTTCGAGAGTGTGGAAGTGTTGAGATAATCTTCGCGCATGCTCATTTTACAACAATAATACGCGCACGAGACCAACATTGAGCCTTCGACACATTTTTTTAACCGCTGGCTAGCTGCCCGTAATTACATTGAAATTTTGTACGTGCGCTATCTCATATAAAATCTGGCCCCAATCTTTCTATTATCTTAACGAATTAAATTTCTCTTTCCTCTCATTTTCACACGATCACAAGAAGATTGAGATACCGCTCCCTTTCCTTCTACAGTCGCTGACCAAATTTGAATGACTTGAAAACACGATTTTGTTGATGACAATCTTGTATGAAATATTTCATAAAGTGCATTATCTCTCCTTTATAAATGTGGAATATTAAATTACCTCAATTTATTTCTGCTTCTTGTTCTGTGTCAAAGTCAGGATATGACTGACAGCGACTGGTAATATCACGAGGACACTGCACGGATTGTACACTTTCCGCGGCTACTGCATCGATACTAGTTAGAAATTAGTCACGCGCAGTAGTGGATGTAACTATAATTGTAACCCGAGTATTGTTGTTAGAATCCGTAGAAAAGGAAATTCACATCCCTCAACTTAACTTAGCAAGGAACAATTATTTTCTGATTGAGCTGGAATATTTTCAGTATTGTTGGACCGAGAGAATCTGACTGGGTGCTTGCACCGCATGTATTACTGGCCTCACGTGCGTATAAATAAATTCGAATTTATGTAAGCGGTGGACCGCTCAAAATACGCGCCTTTTTGTGAATCAAATGAAATGGGAGTATAAGCGTTGAAGAAGATGTCTTCAAGATTATTTTTTCGGTTGCATTATTAAGAGCAGGAATCACCATCAATATTAAATTTCTGAAATATTACAGGAATTTGTCCCTTAGATTAATGAAGGTTTTAAATATGCTGATCAAATTTTATAAATAGTATAATATTAATAATCTGATTTTTTCGGTTAGTGATGGATTAAAAATTTGATAATATGGAACTGTAAATTTACCACTAAGTGAATAATTCAAATTTCATAAAAGGAGATTTTTTATTACAAAAATAATCGTCAACCCTTTCTACCCCAATTATTGACTACTAAAATAGTTGGAAATTTGAATATTTGAATTGATGATACTTGAATAATTAAAAAATTTAAGAGTGATGTTAACTAATTGACGGCTACAATATTTAACGGTAATAATTTTATGGATTTGGCTATCCCTGATTAAGAGGACATTGCGGTGAAATTCAAAAGTTTTCGCTCGGCCTTAAAATCCATTGAACGACTTTTGGTATACGAAGGAATATATTGGAAAGTATGAAAAATTTTGGATCCGAACCCTTTTGCCCCGTACATCCACCAAAAACGTCATTTTTCACGTTTTTAGCTTAAAAATGCTTCTTGCACCACACTTTTCATCCGATTTTAACTTTTCTATCAAAATGTTCGCTATACTCCAACGAACAAACCCAAGTATCCGTTTCACTTTATATGTATTAGATCATAAGGAAAATTTTTTTTTTAATTTTTGCTTTTTTTTCCTCTTCTTAGCAGAGTTGGGCGTGTAAATTACGTTGGTAAATTACCTCGAGGGGTTTTTTATATTTTTTACATTACTTCGAAAAGCTTGCAATTTTTCGTTACTAGAATGTTATATTTTATTCCGACTGACGAAGACGCAGTATTGGACATATAAATATCATAAAAAATAGTATATGTTCCGCTTATTAGAAAGCAGTTCTCGGTACTTGGGGCATAAAATATTATTTTATGTACCTAGGACCGTAAAACCGCGATTGTCCGTGATTCTAACATCGATTGTCTCGGATAAATCGCGGTATTCGGGCCCAGAGACATGGAATATTGTTACACGGCGATATAGTACATTACATGCCCGAGCCTTGGAAAACAGATCACCGTCCCCCACGTGCAAGATTGCCTTCCGAACCGAAGGCAATCTTGCACGTGGGGGACGGTGATCTGTTTTCCAAGGCCCGGGCATGTAATGTCACTATTTCGTGTTGAGGGACCTGAAAAACGCCAATTTCGTGGCGCGCAACGTGAAATGTGATTAACACTAGATTGGTCACCCTATGAGAGTAACCCTATGAGAGAAAAATTTTCATTTAATTTGAAAAAAAAAACGATATGATACCATTTAAATAAACTTATTTATCTGACTCAACCAAACTTTATTGATACTCGGGCCTTCAATTGAAAGAGCGCCGGTCTGAGGCGCTCATATACGTGCCTACACAAACACAAAAATTGGTTGCGTGTGGTTAGTGCCCATGCGCCTTAGAGCCTAGGTGGCGTTTTCTTATTTAGCGAGCCTAATAAAAATTATATTGGGACCGCTAATTACCGATGTCGGCGCTCGTTTTCACCAATATGGACGATTTTAGCCTTCCCATATACACGCTAAACAAGCCCAAATTGGGTTGAATACTGTCTGTGTGCAGCCCAATATCCGCCATTCATAGGTGGCGTTTTGATATTTAGCGTTTCCAATATATTAAATTCCCTGCTTTGATGAATCGGTACCTGTCCCACCAGCCCCTCGTTTATCGTCAATCTGCACGACAGAGCCCTACCTAATCGCTAGCCACTCACAGCAGACACCGCTCTGATCCACCGCCCACTTTGAAAAGCCCTCGAATCCTAGTGAATCTGGTGAAAATCACCCACGAAACACTGCCCCTCACCTGCGCCCCCATTGGCCCGCAATCGTCAATATCACCCAATCAAACCCGTTATCACCGTATCACGTGTTACCTGTCTACAGTTACAGCAAGTGCAGAGAATGAGAGAAGTGAATTTGGAATGTGGTGCTCCGAAAGAATTTCTCAATGTAAAAAAAATTACCAGACATCAGCTAACCTACCCACCAGCACTGTATAATTACCTCGGTCGTTCATTCAATTCCCTTGAATTGAAATAGTGAAATTTAACGCATGAAAAGTCTCGAATTAGCATAATGTTACCAATAAAATAATCCGTTGTGTTTTGCGAATGGAGGTGAATACGAATAGTATTAAACTACAGCCGTAAAGGTATTATGTTTTTCCTTGAATACTAAATCTTAAATCTAATTTGAATATTTGCTCACATTCAGTGATACAAATTCCGGAAAAACAAATTCTAAAAATAATTGATAAAATAATATTCAGTTTTCAGTATTCATTACCGCAAATATGGACAGCTCTGAGTACGAATTAGTCCGTAATTTGACACTTCTCTTCTTTTTCGAACGTTTAATGGATAAAGGTGGGCCACGTACGCTTCACGATTTAAGTTGTCAATTTGGAGCTAAAGGTTTCACGAAAGAAATGAGACAAATTGCTGGTGGATCACAGAGTGGCCTGCGTAAATTTCTAGCTCAATATCCAACATTATTTGTTATCGATGGGGATTATGTGTCCGTTAACACTTTTCAGCCAGTTGTTGAGCAGGACGAAGGAAGTAAAGTGAAGAACAAGAGGGATTATGCACGAGAGGCTGTCGAATATTTCACGAATAAATTTGTGCAGTATGGCGATGGTGCTGAAGTGCCAATTAAAAGCCTTCTGGGGCATCGTTCACAGGCCTCACCGGAAGTTAGACATATTTCAGGCCAGCATTATCGAGAGTTTCGTGATTTTCTCATGAAATATCCAGACGATTTTATTGTTGTCGATGAGAATGTTAAGCTTAAACGTTTCGAGGGGATGGAGGCAGTGCCATTCAAGGAATTGGAGCCTGAAATTCCAGTTGATCAGGAAGTTACGAGGAAATTGCTCGATTTTTTCATTCAGAGTATCGAGAAACAGAGTATGAACACTGTTGAACAACTGCTGAGTGCTGTTGCCACGAAATTTCCTCAAGACATGTGGTCGACGATATTTAGTACCCCCCAGGATTTGACGACTTTTTTGAAAATGTTTCCTGATGCCTTCAATGTACAGAAAAATATGGTGTCGATACATGCAAAACCAAAATTTACGTCTGATAGTGGAATTAAGAATGAGGGGAAGAGGAAAGAGAGCTGTGATAAAACTGATGGCTCACAGCAGAGCAGGACTGCGTCGCCTTCAGTGTCATCAGGACGACAGAGTCAATGCAATTTTAATTCTCTGGAAAATCAAAATTGCAATGACAATTGCAACGATGATTATCAATCTTCCACGGAGTTGAATTCACACTCACCACCGGTTAGTTTGCAACAGCAAACGTTGAAGCAGAGGATTAATACTTTGGTCATGAAGACTCTGGCTGATAACACTGAGAGGGACAGAAATTTACATGCAACTCAAGTTGGTGATGCGTGGAAATTGAAGATATTCCAGCAGACTAGAGTTATTGTTAATGTTAGAGAATCACTTCATATTATTGACGAGATAATGAATCCTCAGCGGGCAATGGGCGATGGGAAAATTGTCGTCTCCTTTGATTGCGAGGGCATCAATGTCGGTGCTAAGGGCCAATTGACACTTGTACAGATTGGAACTGCTCAAGGCCATGTTTATATTTTCGATCTGTTCACATCGCCCAATTTGATCACTGGGTTGCGTAAACTTTTGGAGAGTCCAAATGTCGTTAAGGTATTTTCCTTCAAATTTTGGCCAGTTTATTCGGGAGGCTTTCGTGGTAATAATTGTGATTTTTTGTTCAGGTGATTCATGATTGCAGAAATGACAGCGTGAATTTGTTCAATCAATTTGGAATCGTTCTGAATAATGTGTTCGACACTCAGGTATGTAAACTATTCTATTCTTTTTTGCTTTTTAATTATTATTTAGAGACTGTCTGTTGGAAGTCTCTGAATTATAGATTTTCATTATAGAGTTTCTTTTGTGGATTTTAATCGGCTTTTTAGAGGTCTTCACAAAAATATTGCTAGACTCTTAATTGCGAAAAATTTCCTCCCGTGAAAATTTGTATTGGAAAAACCTAACGAATTCGTTAGACAATTCTATTAGATTTCTATTGATCTGTCCATTAGAAAAAATCAATAGAATTGTAATTTTCTATTGTCTACCTATTTTTTAATTTCCTCGTCTCAATTTTTCATCTATTTTTCTTTTCTTTTCATCAAGAAAATCAAACGAAAAAAAAGAAAACTCGAACCGAGGAAATTTTACAGAAAATATTCCAATAGAATAAGTTGTACAGAAAAATAAAATTCTATTGACTTTTTCTACAGAATATTTTCTACTGAACATTTGAATAAAATCGGTCAAAAACTAATAGAAAGTCCAATAGAATTTTCTTTCTCGGTTTTTTCTACGTTTGTCTATTAATTTTTTTTGTGTGTGAAATTATGATTCTTCGAATCAGGGATGGCCATAAATCTTCCGATTCTTCAATATTAAAAGAATTTCCGACTTCCATTGATCAAGGTTTAAATATACTAATAAAATAGTAAATTAATTGATAATCTAAATTTCCAATTGATGATGAATTAAATATTTAAAAATATGGAACTATAAATTTTCTATTACGTAGATAATACTAAATTCCTTATAAGGGATTTCCGATTATCCAAATAATCTTCCTAACTCAATTACTGATTAATGAATAATTCAAAATTTTACCATTTGAATTGATGATTACTTCAATAATTAAAATTTTAAAGTGAAATTAACTAATTGACTACTTAATAATTTAATAGTAATTATAATCAACGGATGTGGCTATCCCTGAAAAGTGAAACATTAATTGATCTATATTTTCTTGAATAAAAATTTGATTAATTAAGAACAGATATATCAAAATGATTGATACGATCAACATCAAGATCTCCACAAGATGTGCACATCAAAATTCAAAAATATTAATATAATGTCTGTTCATTGAAAATACGTGGATAACAGCTATAAAGGGTAAAATCAATTACGCCCTCCTCATGCGATACCACTCGAATCTACGAAGAATTTCTCTTTCAATCTTCTGCTGTCAACCATGATTCCCGGCTTCCTGCTATAATTAGTCCTCTCCTCTCCACTCAACATCTCAATGACTGCAGTATAAAGGGCTGTTCTCATTCAGAGGGTATTGACAGTCACTCCGGGGTCTTTAGAGTCCTTCCATAAAATCCTGACATTCCATATTTCAACAATTTATTGAAAAGTACTAAAAAAATGAAATGAGTTGATTTCATAATGATTATCTTTCTGAATTAAAGAAAGGGCATGGAACGTAGGTCTCAAGTTAAGCTAAGTCATCATCACAGATAACTAATATTCATTCATTGTTCATATTGTTTTTAATAATGATTAATTTTTGAAAATAATGAAAGTTCTGATAACATGTGGAGAAGGAATTGAAAGGTTATATAGCATTGTTTTTTCATTTTATTATAGTTTAAAGGATTGCATCATGAATCGATTTTCCATTTATTTCCACAGATTGAAAATGGAGAAATATTGTCATTTAAATTATTTATTGAAAGTGAAGATAAATAAAATAAAAATATTTTCTTCTAACAATAAATATATAACATTTTCTCATATTCATATATTAATTTCTTTCTATTAAAAAATTATGTTAAAAAAAGTAAATACGTATTTTTTTTTATTCATTGATATATTTTTATTTTTTTATATTACAATTTTTTCAATATTTTCTTCTTATATATAAGATATTCAAGTTTAGGATGAAAATAATCTTAATTCTTGAGTGCTCATTATGTTGTACAAAAGAATAAAAATATGGCGAAACTCATATCAACAGGATGCAGAGAAATAACCCAAATATAAGAATATCGAAAACGGGGATATCCATGAATATTAATTTTCATCAATATTAAAGGAATTTGCGACTTGCGGTGATAAAGGTTTAAATATTCTCATCAAACTATCAAAATAGTATGATATTAAATCATTTACATTTGCGATTGATGATGAATTAAATGTATGATAATATGGGACTGTGAATTTTCCATTAATCGGCAATCTTCCTACCTAAATTATTGATTAATAAAATAGTTCAGAATTTGAATATTTCAATTGATGATTACTAAAATAATTGAAAATTTAAGAGTGATGTTAACTAAATGACAGCTTCAAAATTTAAGGGTTATTGTGATTTATGAATATGTCTATTCCTGATCGAAAAACTGTTGGCAACAAAAATAGCAAAAAAGCATAAAGAACACCACAGTATCATCAAAGTAGAAAATAAATGAAAAGTGCATGAATGCTGACATAGGAACTCTCAATAAGACAAAGAAAAAAGGTCATGACAAAAATTTTGCTATCTCCTTTAGATTTCGAGATATCCATTGAAAACTTGCCAATAGTCAAAATCGACTTGAACCATTTTATCACTTGGCTTTTAAAATTGGAAGGAGGTACAGAATGTTTTATGAGATCCTTTCTTGCAGATTTCACTTTGCTCTTCGAAAGAAGTCTTCTCGCAAACAGTACCAATTTTTTTCAACAAAAATGTATAAATATGAATAATTTTTTCACAAGCGAATTTTTTATGAAAATCCTGTCTTATGAAACTTTCTGTCGAGATTTTTTTTTTATAAAAATGCTGGTTGCACAAAAATGATTCTGAAGATTTTTTTTTCACTCAGAACTTTCCCTATGAGCAACCTAAATGACTTCAATTGTGGGTTTCAGGCAGCACATGCAGTAATTCAGTATCAAGAAGTAGGAAAGCCCGTTTATAAAGTGAAGAGTGTCAATCTCAATACACTATGTGAGATGTATGGAGCGCCATGTAATCCACTGAAGGAGCAATTGAAGTATATTTATCGTCGTGATCAGAAGTACTGGTCACGTCGACCAATGTCACGGGATATGCTGGTTTATGCCACCAGTGATGTTCTTGGACTCGTGCCTCAAGTATACAATGCAATGTCTAGGTAAAATATATTTCTCTATAGCGAATTTTCAATTTATAGATACGTGAACAATTCAGGTAATGAAAGCTCTGATGTTCGATTACAAAAATAGAAAGACATTCCAGTACAGAAAAAATAGCCGAAGTACTTGGATATCCTTAACCCACCAATCGAATTGATTTCTTTCCAGGGTAATCAAACCCGAGACGCAAAGCCTCTTCAACGAGTTATGTGAAGAGCAAGTGCAGATGCATATAAACCCAGCTGAAGTGAAATCCCGCAAGAAGCAACGAAAGATCGAAACCGAAGTGATGGATCTCCGCAAGAGAATGGAGGAAACAACAGGCAAGAATATTGTCCTGAGTAATCGTGAAATTCGCCTCCTCCGATATTTGTCATTGACTGAGGACGAGAAAGAGAAGCTAAAAGGCTGTTACAAAGTCGCTAAGAAATTAGAAAAGCTAGAGAGTTTAGGGCAGGACAAAAATGAGAGCTCTGATGACGACGATGACGATTGTTTCGACGACGAGGAAAAGAACGAAGAATATCCAAGTTTAGATAGTTGTACCTCTGACAATTCCCAGAATGACATAACATCTAAAATGGAATCTCCATCACTGACGGAGACCATGAAAATGGTCGATGAAATTCTGCAGGATGGTCAGATGGATGGTTTTGAGAGAATCGACAAACTAGAAGCCATTTTATCAGCCGTTACTTGTTCAACTAGTGATAAATTAATCAGTGATTCCGTCCATATAAATAGCCCAAAATGCATGTGTCAGGGATTTTCCCCCAAAAAATCAACAATTGCACGTTCCGAAGCTGCATGTCAAACACTTAGTACTGGCGATATTGTTATAACGAGAATATTTTTTACTGAAGAGGAGAAAGAACGAACGAAACTATTAAATTCGCCAAAAAAATGATTTTTCATATTTTTTATTAAACTAACTGATACAATGAATTTTTATCAACTAAATCAATGAATAGTCATGTACTAGGAATTTTATGATATTATGAAATATTTAACAATGATAGTTCGTCAGCAATAATTATGTGAATCATGTGTGTGAAGAGGAGACGATATTTTTTCTAAAAAACAAAAAAAAATGAACAAAAAACTAATCTCTAACCGTTGACTTTTTATATAACAATTTTAACTGGGATTATGAAGAGTTCAATAAACCACTGTATACGTAAAATTATGTTGATTTATTTGGACAGCTGATAATATAAAATAGAATTTTATTGATTCAATTTTGTATACAAAATATTATGAATATAAAATTCGATGCAGGTCTTTAACAATATTTTATAGATCGTAGAAAATAATATTCAACCATTTTAACATTTTTAAAAAACATTGTAACGTTTTACCATATTTCCAATTACAGTTTAGCCTTGAGACTGATCATGAGTTTCTCAAGTTTCATTGCAGTCTGTAGATTACCATCAATCTTCAGTTTTCCCATGAGGAATGCAGTAGCTGGTTTCAATTTACCAGTGAACATATCAAAGAAATTTGTCGACTCCATAGTGAGTGTGGCATCAGCTGGACTGATTGGGGTGCCTTTACCAAATCCCCCATTACCATTCTTCAGATCCAGAAACCACGTGCCCTTCTGTGCCCCTATGAAACAACCAGCATGATTGTAACACCCAAGACCTTCATGTTTTTATGTTAATTCATGATTTATCTACCTGTCATGTTGAACTGGTAGATAGCGCCGACTTTTTTTACGAGCTCTGGAGATATGTTGGCTTCAATTGCTTTGAAGACAACTTCAACATTACGATCGCCACTTGGCTTCTCGTCAGATTGCAGTTTGATGTATTTTTGGGGGTCCTCAATGTCCAGGAAAAAGTCCAACATCAATTGATCTTTGTATTCTGAAACATAAATTTGAAAATTAGAAGAAAGACCCTTAATTAATTTTTACACGTATGAAATAATTCAATACAAAGCGAATTCGTTTGAAAATTCTAGGGAATTCTCGTTAAAATCGATTTGTTTTTTGCGCAGATTCTATTAAATATTCGATAGGAAAAAGTCAAGAAATTTCGATTTTTCTGAATTTTACATAGAAAATTCATGCCCAAGTATTCTTATAGAAAAAATTTCTAGACAATATTCATATAGAAAATCGAAGTCTATTGACTATCAAATATCTCATAGAATCAGCGCAAGAAACAAATTGAATTTCTAGAGAATTCCAATAGAATTTTCTAGCGAATTCGCTAATTTTTTCTATTGCATTTTTCTCATACATGTATGCTCGGAGATCATCATGATTATAATTCTTAAAAAAGCGGACAATGGCATTTTTTTTATAAATAAGTATAATTATTGTTGCTAATAAATTAGCAATTTGTTGCCGAATCGGTTTTCTGTTTTGACATTTTGATTTCACTATTCTATTTTTCTATTTATTCATGTCATAGGATTATCCTCAATCGAAATGACATCAAAATTTTACGTATTATTCCGTTCGGTCAAATAATTCTACATTCAGACCCTCTCAAGACTCAAATTCGTTTTCAGTCTAGGTTCAATCAAGGTTCAATCAAGGTTTAATCAGTGTAAGCAATGATACTGTTCTCACCCTTTTTCAACTTGATTAAGAAGGCATTGAAATATACTGTTCAAGCCCTGATTTAACTGCAATTACTGATGATTCGTTCAGTAATCATGACAAAACCGATTTTCTTTTTCAAATCGCATAACAGGGATGGCCATCAATCTTCCGATTCTTCAATATTAAATGAATTTCCGACTTACATTGATCACGGTTTAAATATACTAATCTAAATTAAAAAATAGTAAAATAATTGATAATCTAAATTTCCAGTTGATGATGATGAATTTAAGCATGATATTAACCAATCGACTACTTCATGATTTAACAGTGCTGTAACCCAACAACAAATTGTGCGACCCCCATCATGTTCTGATAGAATCAAGACGGTATTGTTATAATTTATTGAGCCATGACTAATTCCATTTTAATGACAATTTTTTGAGTGATCGTTGAAAAACTGATTTTTGGAAAAACATGAATTTTCTCGAATCTGTATAAAAAATTGAATTTTAATTGGTGTCAATGAATAGAGCTTATTAAAATCTGTGTTCATGAAGTAATTGAAATTCATGAAATTCGATTGACATAAAGATCGTTTATTCGGATTTTTCAGACCCTATTTAGTTACTCTAACACAAAAAATTGGTGACTTAAATTTGAGTGATTCTAAAACTTCCATTCGGCAGCAATACATTTAGTTTTACATGGTTATTTGTATAATCATTCCGAAACGTATTGATATTGTTTCATTTGTGACAGGAAATATTGCTTTTGCCTTTGCGTCGACACAATTTCCCCTGTTCTTGGGGATCTCGCGAGCTGCTTTAGGGAATTATTTGAATTTATTCGTCGAACATTAATTTATTTATTATATTTAAGAATTTTGATTCATTTAATTTATCATCCACTCTAATTTGAATTTCGCCGACACCTGAGACGGCGGTCTAGCGTGATTGGGTCACCACCAGGGGGTCATGCCCTAAAGTATCGATTTTTGCTAATGTCTGCGTCTGAGAATAGGCAACAAGTCGCCAGCGTGACACTCTTCACCCGGCGCGATATCGTGTGAATGTACTTTGTATTCTAATTCGTGTTTTGTATTGTTTTCCTATTTCCTATTTATTTATTCGTCTGTATCACATTATTAGATAATTACCAGTTCGGTTTAGTCGATACTCGGTTAATCATTCATTTCTGTTTGGTAATTCATGATTAAGAAAATATTCATAGAAAATTTAATAGAATAGACTACTGCAATCTCATAGTACCCATTTAATCAATCATTAATCTGTTATTGGATTATCGATACGCTGAGGTTAGTGAATATTTTAGCACTCATGAATCTCCTAATAGCGATTGATTATTAATATTCGAGGCGATCCCGACTTGTGATTAGATGAGGGAAAAAAAGTTTCTAGTTTCCAGGACCGAATTGAATAATAATGATCTTAAAAAATTTCTGGTTTGAGAAGCCATTGCATCGAGAATAAAAAGCTGATTACTGGGTTTCAGAAAAAAATACCTAATATTCCGTACCAAAAATCTAATTATGTCAAGTGAGAAAAGTTGAAAAATCAAGAACCGTTGCGTTCTCAAATCGAAAGTTATTGGGTTGTTATATCAACAACATTTGCAAAACAAACCAAGAACATTCTGTGGAGATGACCAAATTGATGGAATGATGATTCCAAGCATAGGGCGAAATTGAGTTTGTATTTACAATTGAGTTTTCCTTTATACAAATGTACAAATGGTGAGGGTAGAGTAAGTGAATATGTTCTCTAGCTGAATGGAGTCGTCGAATGATGAACGATTGAATGATCATAAGTAAATGTTTATGACAGGAACGTTTTGAGGATTAGATTGTAATTTTCCGTAGGAGAGAGTTGGAGTGACTTTGCAAATTTGGGTAAATTTACGGAAATGCTCAAAATTGGGAATTTATCATGTCTAGAAGGACGAAAAAATTTAATAGAAAACCTGTCGAATTCATTAGAAAATTCTATTGAATTCTCTTGATGAGAAGAAAAGAAAAATGGAATGAAAAAAACTTAGGAAATTTGAGTCGAGCAAATTCTATAAAAAATATATGAAAAGAATAAGTTGTATAGTTGTATTGATTGATTGATTGAATAAGTTGTATAGAAAAATCGAATTCTGTTGACTTTTTCTATTGAATGTTGTGTCAATAGTCATGTCAATAGAATCAGCCAAAAACTAATAGAAAGTTTAATAGAAATTCAATAGAATTTTCTAACGAATTCGATAGGTTTTTCTATTGAATTTTTTCGTGCGTGTAGACAGAGGCATAGTGAAGTCACAGTCACCACAACCCAAATGGGTTATAATTCTAGAATAATTGAAAATTAATTCCTCATCAATTGAATCAAGGTATTAGAAGATAAACTCGAGTAGATTAATTTTAGAAGGGGAAAAAGCGGCAATTGAGAAAAGAGAATTTCCTTTATCTAAGCAGCCGGACGTTCATGACATGAACACTCCAAAGTTCTGGAGTCCAAAACTAAGATTTCCTCAAAATAAGACAAAATGTACCTTAATTTGACTACCATGGTCCAGCGCTCGACCATCTGGGTGATGTGATTTGCGATTTCAAAGCATTTGAAATCTTCAACTTTTAACAACTAATTAATTAACGAGCAAGATTTCAAACGTTTGTGAATGAAAAATGAATTATTCAGGTCCCAAACTTAAGATTAGAAAATTTAAAAAAATTCATGCAAGTTCTTTATTTAGATATTTTTACTGAGAACTAGAATTTTTTTTCTCTGTGCAGGTGTGACCCTGGCAAAATGAACACTGGAATTTTTTCTAATGTTAATCATTCATTGAATTGTCAACTAAATGACACCATTTTTTCCCATGGAGCCTAGAATGCCTTCTCTCTACTGATTAGACAAAATTTTTCATTGAATTATGCACATGAAAAAAAAAAATCAAGTGTTAATTTTGCAATTTTGCAACCGCCCCGACAAAAATGAGACAAATACCTGGATTGCAGGCATACGGGGTGAAATCGGTGATCCCCTCCTCCTTCAATACCTCGTCATCAATCAAAAATTTTCCAGTAAAATTTCTGCTATCCTTAGTGACAATGGCATAAGCTGCATCAGCCATAATTTGCGGTTTTCTGCTGTAATTCTTACTCTCCTCTCCACTCAACATCTCAATAGCTGCGGTATGAATAGCTGTTCTTGGCCAGAGAGCATTGACAGCTACTCCATCGTCTTTAAATTCCTCCGACATGCCCAAAACACAGAATGACATTCCATACTTTGCCATTGTATATGCAAGATGATTTTTGAACCATTGTGGATTTAAATTCAATGGAGGACTGAGATTGATAATGTGTGGGTTCTTGCTCTTCAATAAATGCGGCAGGCATGCTTTTGATCTGGAAAATAGAAGAATAATGAACAATTTCAGATGTTGATTGCTGGGGAGTCACTCACACGAGGAATGTTCCCCTAGCGTTGATTTGGTTCATGAGATCATATCTCTTCATCTCAGTTGTGAGCGTTGGTGTGAGGGAGATTGCACTGGCATTATTAACGACAATGTCAATTCCACCGAATTTTTTAATCGCTTCTGACACAGCAGCATTCACTTGGGCTTCGTCACGTACGTCTACGGTGCACGGCAGCGCCTTTCCCCCTGCCTCTTCCACTGAAAATATTTCGTCAAATGTTTAGATATATTTTTACTTGCTGATCAATTGATTGGCGTGTGATGATCACCTTCTTTCGCTGCTGTGTAAATTGTGCCTGGTAATTTTGGATGGGGCTCCGCTGTCTTGGCACATATGACAATGTTTGCTCCATCTTGGGCTGCTTTCAACGCTATACTCTTGCCAATTCCTCTAGATGCTCCGGTAATAAATAAGGTTTTGCCAGCAAGTTTTCTGGAAGAATCATTTCATGGGGTATTGGAATGCACTGTGAGAAAAAAATGATATTTCACGGACAGTTGACTACTAATTTTCAGGACTGTGACACTGAATGCGATTTAGAGGGAAAAAATCATGAAATTTCAGGTTTCTCTGAAAATTCAGTAGAATTCGAGAATTTTAAGCAGCATGAAGACAAGAATTCCTTAATTCATTTGTAATTCCAATCTAATATGAATATTCAGTGCCAAATTACATTGAATTTTCAGTGAAATCTGAAATTTCATGATCTTTTGCTTCTGAATGGAAACTTTCAAAATGCAATTTTTTTCGATTCTTTAATTTTGCTTAGGCATGACTCAGGGTGGTATGAAACGTCGAGATATGATGTTTTTTTAGACGATGTCTGTATGTACGTGTGTGCGTGTTTGTCCAGAAGTGTGTAAATAAATTCGGAAAAGGATTCACAAAAAAGCTGAAATTTTGACTCATAGTTGGAACTAATGAAACACAAATCTGTCCTGAATTTCAGCCCGATCGGTTGAGTAGCTCCGGAGATATAGCGATTTCTCAAAAATCGTTTTTTGCAAATATCTCCGGAAAGACTGGAACAATTTTAATTTTTTTTTTCTAGTTTCTAGGGGTCATGAAACGTGTAAAAATCATGAAATTTCCACAATCAATTTTCCCGGTCATTACAAAAACTTCCTCTTTTCGGATCAGAAAGTTAATAAGGTTTCCGAAAGTTTAAACAAATTCAATTATTTCTTTATAAACAACGAATGTTTAAAAAATAATAATTCTGTGGAAAACGGAATTTGAATGACGCTGAATATTCACGATTTTTTTCAAATTTTTCTATAGTGTGGTCTGTACCAAATTGTAAAAGATACTTCGATATCCTTAAGCATGATTACGATTTGCTATTAATCATTTAAATATGATTAGATAACCCCTCAGATGTCATAAAAAATCGAACATTCAACATTTAACGAAATAACAATGAATGTCAGATCTGCTGACGAAAATTTTCCAAGATCGAGTATCAATCCACCTAAAGTTCGAAGTTGAATTTAAATAGTAGTTTAAATATTTTTTCAATTAGGATGCACGATTTATAGATAAATAGAACAAAGTCGATAACTCAACAACTTGTCAGAAGGCAATAAAGTTTTTGTTTTGAATAGATAGCGTAATCACACACATTCCAGCATTAGATAATTTTGATGTATTTCATTCATTTTAAGACGTTATCGCAGCAAGAATACTACTCTTTGTGAATGAGTATTTTTCGTATTAGAGTGTATGGACAACTTGCATACATATTTATACAACGACGAAGGTGATAGTATCGCTATTGCCCAGAATGTATAACATACACTAGTATCACAGCAAAAACGAACGTCTGAATTTCACACACCTGTTGTAGACATTTTTCAGACACTAAGAAAACGTTTAAATAAAATGAAAATTTGTGGAAATTTCAAACATGAATTAAGATGTTTAGGCACCTGTTCGTCTGAAATTCAGGCAAATTTTCATTTTATTCAGACGTTTTTTAGTTTTTTAGTGTCTGAAAAATGTCTACAAAAGGTGTGTGAAATTAAGACATTCTTTTTTGCTGTGATTCTGTCGTTATCGAGTTCCCTTGAACAGGAAAACAAAATTCGCGAAAATAAATTGGACAACAATGAAAAGAAGGAAGAAAACAGAAAATAATAATAAAACCACAAAATTAAAAAAATGTTGAAAGTAAATTTCAGGCAAATGACATTTTGGCCATTACGGAATATATACGGTCCCTTTAAGTAATATCCACTTGCGATCGAGGAATAACAAGTTCCTCAATTTCAGAGAATTAAAAGAACAAAATATGATAGAACTCGCACAGTTAACAAAATACAAAGTCAATATCAAAATCAAATGACATTTGGAATGAATCTGGAATAGAATCATCAAATCCAAGAATACTAGTTTTTGTGAATGGGGATTTTTCGTATTAGAGTGTATGAACAACATGCATCCCAGAAAACAATTTTTGCCACAGCCATCTAAAATTTATCAGGACATCGGCAATTTGTTGACAAATTGTCGACATACTGTTTGCTGGAATTCATGTTTATACAACGACTAAGATGATACTATCGCTACTTCCCAAAAATGTATAAAATACACTATTATTCTGATGTTATCGAGCTCGCTTAAACCGAAAAACAAAATTCAGGAAAATTGATTGGACAACAATGAAAATAAGTACGAAAACTTATTCATAAATACGAAATCTTTCGAGTAATCTCCACTTTCAATTGAGGCATGTGGATAAAATTCCTTAATTTCAAGAAGCAAAAAAAACTGAATGCTACAGGACCCGAACTGTGATCAAAATACAATGTCAATTACAAAATCAAAGGACATTTTGAATGAATCTGGAATAAAATTATCAAAAATTTCAGAATCAATCCCGTTGAAAATTTTCTGAGCAATATACTTGAAAGACAGTAATACATATCTGAACAAGGCGAATATTTTGAAAAAAAAATCATTGAGATCGGTTGACTCGTTATTGAGATATTCAAGACATTAGGTTTACATACAAAGTTGAATATCTGCGAAATTAATTGACCGATTGAGCCCATCTTCCATACAGGTCCTTGCGATGATAAGAGACAGCTTCATGCCAAATTTCAAGTCGATATCTCAATTTTTACTTAAGTTAGAGCGCGAACAAGGATTTTAAGTCAAAAACAGGAAAATCCAAATATCTCAAAAACTTTGTATGAACGGATATATATGTTTTAATTGATTTAGATAGAGGACATCATGCCGATTATTTTGAAAAAAAAAATATTAAAATCGGTTGGATATTTTCCGAGATATTTGCGAGAAAAGGTTAAAAAACGAATGGATATTGCTCAAAAACTAATGAGCGGATCAAGCTGAAGTTTGGCATGGAGTTATTCTCAAGTTAACCCTTCAGAACTCGCGCTCAGCCACCGACCTTCGTTACTCGCGTGGTGAGCGCTGCGCCGCCCGTGCTTTCAGTAACGCAGGGTTGTCACGTTCATAGGTACGCGCCGAGCGTGCGGCGAGCGGGAAACAGCAACAGCGGAATTGAAAATTTTACATCCTTCGTTACTCGCGCTGGGCGGCACGGCGCCGCTTTTGCGTATGAGCCTCAACAATTTATTATTTTTCGTAGCCTTGATGGATTTTCAGCGGATAAGAATCTTGCTAATCCATTCTAAATGATTCAAGCTAGGCATTCTAATTTTTTCAATTTTTTGAAAATTTTGCAAGAGGCAAGCGAAAACTTGAAAAAGGCGGCACGGCGCTTATAGCGCGAGTTCTGAAGGGTTAAACAATTAATTGAAAAAATTTCCAACTTTTTGGAATGATTTCTCCCGTTTAATTATCAAATTTACGAAAAAGTGACCGACTGGACAGTGTCACGCACAGACATGGTCCCCAAACTTCGTATTTTTACGTTTCAGACCATTCTGCATCATTTCCAAGCAAAATTAGAAAATGTGAAAATCGAACGATTGCAATGCTCCATTCGGAAGCAAAAAAAAACTGTAAATTTTCAATTTACCTCGGTAAAATTTCAATTTAGTTTTGAGGTAAATCTCAGGCAAGACATTTTTTGAAAATTCTTGGACACACACCCTTCAAGTACCCTTCCACCGGCAATCCAAGAATAAACAACCAATTGACCGCTCCTATGCTGAAGAAGGCATGTACTGTTACTTTATGTGTTATTTGCGTTTTTAATTTTTTTTTGCCAATTTTCAATTGGTAGTATGCTTCCGAATGGATGCTTATATCATCTCAGCATGTTCCACTCTCATAAATCCATACAGAAAATTTATACAGATGAAAAATGTAATACATCACGAATTTTATATTGTCTTATCTCGAAAACTTCGTATGGATTGCTATGCATATTCCGATTGATCTAGATAGAAGACACTGAAAGGAGCATTTAAAAAAAAATTGAAATCGGTGCAGTAGTTTTTGAGATATTGACCAAAATAGTTTTTTACGAAAAGTGGAATATCTCAGGAACTACTGGACCGATCGGGCTGAAATTGTGCACCGAAGATATTCTCAATAGTACCTATTATAGGCCGAAATTTCATATGTTTATCAATAAATTTCACCGTATTAATGTTATATTTTCTGAAAAGTGATCATCCAAAAATCGAACTATCAGACCCGGATATACAGACATTTCTTAAAAACATCATTTCTTCACGTTTCATACCATTCTACATCATTTCCAGGCAAAATTAGAGAATGCCAAAATCCGACGAACACAATGCTTCCATTCGGAAGGAAAGAATATCAACAAATTCCAAAAATGATCCCAATTCCAAAATGTATAAAAACAAAATACAATCGATCCCGTAGGGGATGTTGGGATAAAATGGACACTTTTGACTTTTTTAAAAATGTTGATAAAATTCAATAAGTTTTTTTTTCATTGCAAAGAACAATTCTTTCCCTTTGTGATGACCCTGAACTGAGCTCAATTGATAAATTTGTTTCTGAGTTATGAGTAATTAAAACAAAAGTCTAAAGTGTCCATTTTACCCCACTCTCCCCTACATCTACCAAAACACAAAATCAATATTGAAACCAAGTGGCCTTCGAAGCCAAAATGTGACAGTCATCATCATATCCGATCAAATGTGTGTTTACTTTAATTATTCCAATGCTCATTTAATTTATTTGTACTTTGATCCCGGGCAGGCTCAAAGTACAAAACAAATAAACTGAAAATTGGCTCGGCTCACTGCCCCCCGCAAAATAAAGCCCACGCACAAGCAAAACCTCATATTTACCCAGTATTTTTGAGCATTGTAACTCCACCCGAAGACCCACACCTATCACCAAAGTAATCCTCCGACTCACTGAAAAAACTGTCGAGAAAACCAACAAAACCGACCGTAAAACTAACTGTAAAAAAATTCTTGCCCCTGCCGTATGCCACCCAGTGTCGGTGTCCGCCATCTGCGCGAAAGATTCGTCTCAAAGAAACTAAAACCCTCAGCGCTCTGTTTTACCGATGACTCCGTCACGTGACCGAAAGAAGAGGCGATACATGAGAACGAAAGGCGATTGGTTGATTTGAAAATAGAACGTGAAAGGGAACCTGCTGGGTTTTCGTGTTATACCGGCAAACAGGGTTTCACTCATTGGAGGGTACGAAACGGCCAGCATTCGGCCTACGAGCGTCGATCAGCGTCCACACGAATCCGGTGACGTTCCCCAAACAAAACATTGCCCGCGTTTCATTCAACTCGTCACGTACGAAAACCCATAAAAAATTGTGGTGAGGTTTTTTTATCGGATTACTCAGTCCCAGTCGCTAGTGTGACCCAAATACCCTGTACCACTTGGATTTTTTAACGATAAAACGGTATTACAACGAAAATGTTCCGTTGTAAGTGTACACAAAGCTGTCGAGTTCATTTCAAAGCGCGGAGTATAGACGGTGAATCTGATCGATGCACGCATTGATAATCTCCGATGAAATTATAACGTTAATGTGCACTTTTTACGAAGATAAGATGAGTGACAGTTTGATGTGAAAATTTAATTGCTTGAGATTGAGATTCAGTGATCGTTTGAAATAATATTCGAGTGAAGATAAAAGCGGAATGTGGAAGAGTTAAAACGTCATGATTGAAAGATGGTTTTGGAGGGAATCATGGTGCCGATCGGTGGGAGATCCTCAGGTAAAGGATCCAACGAAACGACGGCATCACGATCCAACATCGGCAAGACGGTGACTTGGATTACCAAGAAATCGTTACGATAAGTCACTCGTTTCAAACCCGTTCTGGATTTTTTTTTATCTCACCGCTGTTACGAAACCTGTCTATCATCGCGTCCGACTTCTCATTATTTGTTATGCACGATAATCGGTGTACAATCACAAAGTATGCCGTTCGTCGTGAGAAAAATCGAGCCGCGATACGTTGGCCGTGGGCACGTGCCGCAGGATGCAACGACAGCGGAAACATGGCCAGTTGGTGCAGAATTGGGTGCTGTATCAAATGGCACATTGGCAAGTACACTGAAACAACTTGCTTCGTTATTATCTGTTGCCGAGGATATATTTGGCGAGTTAACGGCGGAATTGACGAGTGTAGCAGACAGGAGTGGCGTACTCAGACGAAGAATCGATCGACTCGACGATCGATTAGCGGGCATCGATCCAAAGAAAATACCAGTTCGTAAGTAATTGCTTTGATTCATTCCCACGATAGGGGCGATGAGAGGTGGATGTCTCCAGTCATCGATAATATTTTCCAACTATTTTTTTAATGATAACCAAAGACTTTGGCTATTTTTTCTCCAGTGAAATGCTTTTCTACTTCTGTAGAAGAATATCAGACATTTTACAGTGATTTTATTATTTAGTAATGATTTTATTATTTATTACTAGGGGGCTACGCCCCCTGCTCGCTCCGCTCGCCAACCCACATATGACCCTCATCTTACTTATTCTGACCCTTGTGATCCTCATTATAACCCATATGACCCTTATTCTGACCTTCAGGACCCTTAATCTCACGCTGGTGTACCTTATTCTGACCCCCATGACTCTTAATCTGACCTTTGTGACCCTCATTATACCCCTCGTGACCCTCAATCTAATCCATATGACTCTTATTCTGACCCTCGTGACCTTTATTCTAACCCTGGCCCTCATGACCCTGATTCTGAACCTCGTGACTCGTATTCTGACCTTATTCTGTACCTTATTTTGGTGTCTTAATTTCGAGTACCAAAGTTTCATCACCAGAAGTCGATTTGAATTTTTACAATACAGAGATTATTTACTAACTTTGCTCCCTGCTCACTTCGCTCGCTAAGGCCAGGGGGCTTCGCCCCCCCCCTCGCTTGCTTTGCTCGCTCATCTAATCTCCTTGGATATGTGTAGGTTGTATATTCTTGACACGCGTCGCATGTTTGGCACAAAAAATCCTTTGATCATTTTTAACAAACGATTTTTTTGGCACAAATAAGACTTGTTTGAGAACTCTGCTGTTTACTCTTTGTCTAGCTGTACTACACAGTTTAGAAGATAATAAATAATGAAATCCGTGTATCTAACACGCGAGGCATAGGCGGAACGGGGGTTATGGGTCCCCTCGAACTCGATTTTTCCATCTTATGATGTTCTTAAAAAACTAATCCATTATAGATTGATAAATTCCGAATACGGTTAATTTTTTGTAAAATTTTGTGCTACATAATTTCTGCGATATTCAACTCTCAGACAGTTCGTAAGTAATTACTTTGATTCATTTCTACGATGAGTCGATGAGAGGTGGGTGTTTCCAGTCGCTGATAATGTTTTCCAACTATTTCTTTAATGATATCCACGCACTTTGCCTATTTTTTCTCCAGTGAAATGCTTTTCTACTTTTGTAGACGAACATCAGACATTTTACAGTGATTTTATTATTTACTAAGGGGCTTCGCTCCTGCTCATTTTGCTCGCTTCGCTCACTCACCCTATCTCCTTAGATATGTTTAGGTTGTATACTTCAAGTATTCATATTCAAAATTTTACTAGAAATCGATGTCATGCAAAAAAAATAGAATTTCCGATAGTTTAAACAATTTTAATTATTTATTTATAAACAATGGATGTGAAAAAAAAATTATATGCATAATGTAATTTGAATAACGCTGAATATTCATGATTTTTTTTAAAATTTTCTCATGCGATTTAATTGACAAATTTGGAGATTGAAAATAGTTGAATCTATAGTGTGGTCTGTACCAAACTGTAAAAAAAAACTATCATTATATTTTACTGAAAAGAATTATTAATATTTCAAATAATTGATTTTTCAGTTTTATAATTATTACATTTCGTTATTAGTACTATTATTATTAATCTTACTATTATTACAGGTATATATACTATAGATACTTGGATAACCTTAAGGGGAAACTACTCTGAGTTTTAAAAATCGCAGGGTATTGGAGTGAGATTTCTAATGCATTGCAGATCGCGTATATATGTCTAAAAACGAATAATTAGTGCAAAAAAAAATTGTTTATTATTCGTTTGCCCCGTAGACTTTTAAAAAGTTGAAAATACTCCAGGGCCGCCATACGTGGAGCTCAAAAGGTGTAGCTCGACCTTTTGAGCTACAGAGGTTTTTTTCAATTTTTGAAAAAATGTGTGCAATAACAATTATGAATTAGTTTTGTGAAACGCAACTGCTACAAGGCTAATTTCGTTTTTTTTTTAATAAAAAATTGCACCATTCATGTGAAGTCGCCCGAAAAATGTTTCTGAAAGAATCGAGAATATATTTTAAACATTTTGAGGATAATTTTTCTGCCTATTTTACATGAATGGCGCAAATTATATATTAAAGAAAACAAAATTAGCTGTGTAGGAGTGAAATTTCAAAAAAATAATTCGTAACTGTTATTGTACACATTTTTTTTTTATTTTTATCCCCCTGGACTATTTTTAACATTTTGAACGTCTGCGGGGCCAACGAACAATAAACAATGAATGGTTTTGCACTAATTATTCGTTTTAAGACAAACATAATCGCTTTTCAATGCACGAGAAATCTTACTCCAACAGCCGACTTAAAACTCATAGTACTCTCCCCTTAACTTGTAAAACGAACCCAATTTCACTCGAATTGTCCCACTTCGTCGGAAGTTATTGGAGATTTAAAAACGATCCATTCTGCCCCACCCCTAAAAACCGCTGAATCCAGCCCATTTCCATATATCTTAATACAGTAAAACCTTCCAGCCATAACTTCATTATAATTTATCTCCAAACAATTTTCAAAATATCTCCAAACGTTTTCGGAATTCCATTCCCATGTTAGGGTACAACCGAGGTACTCTGTTATTATCATTTGCGCACGAGTGCACTGAGATGAAATGAGAAGGGACTTAGAGATCTCAGTGAGTGCGAGAGTTGCGCTTCAAGTGAAAGCGCAGTGCCGTGGGCAATTCTTTAGTCCTTACCTGAACGCGTTACCCCGGTCTTTTTCCTTCTCGTTCACCGTCTTATCCTCCACTTACGAATACTTGTTCTGGAGTAACACAGGAACACACACACACACACACACACACACACATGCAGAAAACACGTAGAATCATTCGTCTGCCCGCCCGCTGTGGAACTCTGGTCTGTGTCTACCTACCGTGGGCCCCAATGGGCCGTGGGAACGTGGACAGTGTTAATACACACAACCAAAAATCTTTCAACCAAGAGATTTTTGCTGTTTCCAACCCCCTCGTGAGAGGAACAGAGAGAGATCCTGTCTAGGGACCGGCGCCCGACGATGACGCTGGATTAGCCTTGGCCCCCATATATATTTCTTCATTTTCTCACTCACTCTCTACCTTCATCTTTCTCTCACGAATGCTTCTAGGGCTCCACAAAGATTCCCTTGTTGCACTCCGACTGCACTTCCACTCAATGGACGGTTGTACTTTTTCGTCAAGGAAACTCTCAACTTGTGAGGCAACAGAAGAGATTTTGCTAGGTTCAAGCTAATTGTCATAATTTCAATTGCACCGTTACGAGCGTGCACTTAATCACTCGAGGGATTTCGCACGAATTATTTACTATGAACTTTTTTTCGGAGGACGAATTGATCGATGCAATGAGGAAGATACGATCGGGAAGGAGGATTTCCTGTTCCTTGTATCTAAAAATATTTTCACCAGCTGCTCATCCAGCGGGCCCCTATGACACTCTCACGTTTTTCTTCCTGGGATACTCATACATTTGTGGGTAATAGTGAGTAATGTACGGGGTAAAATTAGATAACTATTTAGGGGAAAAAAGGCTTACTTATTTCAGGAGAGAACATTTAGTATTTGTGCATAATTGAACGTTAATTCAACGTTAAGGGTATTCAGGTGTCTTTTACAGCAGACCACACTATAGATTCAACCATTTTCAATCATTAAGTTTGTGAAAAAAAATTGAAAAACATTATGCATAGTCAGCGTCATTAAAATTATATTTTGCATAATTAAATTTTTTTACACATTCGTTTGTTATAGATAAATAATTAAAAATTTTTAAACTTTCGGAAATCTTATTTTTTTAGGCATGACATCGATTTCTGGTAAAATTCTGAATATGAATAATAAAATTCCTCCTATTTCTCCAGGGCCTTTCGTGGGTCTCAGCAATTTTATCATCCAAAAATGAAGTAAACTCTAAATTTTCACTATTTTATCAACATCTATTTTATCAACATCAACAAAAATTAAAAACTATTATCATCCATTATTATGGAGAGTTATTCAATGCTTGAAATACCTGTTTGAAGATAAAATCCATATAATAATTCAAGGATAAAAATTAATGTTCATTATTCGTTATTTTTTACCAATTCACAAAAAAACATTGATTGCTCGGAACTGCGAAATGACCTGAAGAAGTAGGAAGAATTTAAATGTTTATACTGGCGGATGGAATATTCATTCTGTTTGAATATGAGTAAATTTGTTAAAATTAATCGTTTATAAATCATTTCTAGAAAATGCTCGTAATTTTCACAAAATGCCATGTTTTAATTATTCCATCAATCTTTCTCCAAAAGTAAATTTTCTATTTTTTCCAGATTTTAAAAATGTTTTCTAACGGTTCAATATCGAGATTCAAATTGAGACCTGCAAAGTTTAAATAATAAAATCATTGTAAAATGTTCGGAAACGTATGTTCAAATGGGATTCAAATGAAAGCTCTGATGTTCAACTACAAAAGTAGAAAAGCATTTCACTGGAGAAAAAATAGCCAAAATTCCATTAAAATGGGTCCATCAAAATGGGTTTATTTGGATGGCCTCATTTTAACGAGTTTGCACAAGGACTTTTCTTGTATTTTTTCTCCGTTTAGGTGGAATACTTTGAATATAGTAAAGGATCTGTAAACGTTGTTTGATTTTAGAATAGGAAATATTGTCAATGCTTCGTGCTTCAGTAGCAAAGCGGTAAAACGGTTTAGTCGATTTTGACTATTGGCCAGTTTTCCATAAATATGTCGACATCTAAGAGAGATAGCCAAATTTTTCTCATAATCTTTTCTGCAGCACTCAATTCGCGCTGCTAAAAAGGTTATTACGAAAATTTCGCTATCTCCGTTAGATTCGGAGATATTCCTCGAAAACTCAGTTAAGACCTAAGTCGACTTAATTCGTTTTGCCACGTCGCTACTGAATTTTTT